ATAGGATCTGTTTAATCAGATTGTGAGTACACCAACTAGAAGCGTAGTCCAGTATAGATTTATTTAAGTGGCTTTGTAACTGCCACGTTCGGATGGGACGAAAAACCGAGGTCGCGTGTACAAATTGGCGTGCACCTAAAAGATCCCTGGACAGTTGGAATTCGATATAAGAGTAGGCCATAGTGCCGCTGTCCGGGCAAAATTTCCCGCGTGTCACACTGTATGGCGTAGGCCTATGCCCGTCTTCCTTAGCCCAGTGGAAGCAGAACAGTAGGACGTTAAACCCCATTTCATTTCATTTCTGAATTCCCGATTTTGGAGGAGAGGGGGCAGAAATAAGATGGCTGAAAAAAAAATACCCTTCTTAAAGCGGAAGTTGCGACGATCGCAAACACGTTTTCCTGCTATTCCAACCCATAAATAAGTGATCCAATAGAGCCTTATTTATATGGTTTTGCAACCAAAATCTCACTCATTACCCATCGGAACTTCAATCAATCAATGAGACTGTTGCCTTTACATTCACGGGACATCGCAAATTTCACTTTCCAAAAAACTAATAAAACAAATAAAGATGATGCTCGAAAAGAAAAATCGAACATTAAACAGATAATCGTAGGTGGGGTGGGTGAGTGATAGAATGGTCTTATAACAAGTGCAGGAGGACCGCACTACACGCAAACCAAAATCTACAAGATAAACCTGCGGACAAGACAGAATATAGACATTGCACCAAATAAACAAATATCAAATCAAGTGAATGGATCCGGGGGCCAGCCGTAAGCGTCCACTGCGTTGTACAGCCCCGGCTCTGTAATGAAAAAAAAAAACGATTTACGAAAAAGACGTAACAGAAATAATTCGACCGATCTTGACAGTGGTCGTCTCTTCAAAATACGATAGTCTGTTAGATGACGTTATGAGTTAGAACGTCAAACAATTTTAACAATAAGGGCGCACTCGGCAAACTCAATAAGTGCGATAATCCGGATAGAATCTCTGAAAACGCTAAAATAATAAAGTGTAGTGGGCAAACCGAGGTAAAGCCCAACAACGAAAACATTCTGCAGTAATAAGAGCTAAAATTCTACTCTATCTAATAGCAAGTGCAGGAGGACCGCACTACACGCAAATCAAAATCTACTATTGAGTCGAGTTCCCAGCTTGTACTCTCTCTTTGACTAAATTGTAATTTTGTGGTTCCAAAATTCACAATATTTCAACTCATATAATACTAATGTATCTATAATATTCGGTAACACGATTTACCCAAATCCACCTTAATCTAACCAAAATTCACAATATTTCAACTCACCGGAATTACTAGAGAAGCGGAAACAACTCAGGAGGCTAGAGAGAAAATGGTTAATTTCTGGTCTAGAAATTGACCATCAAATGTTTGTTTCGGCAAAAACTGGGTATCAGAATAATATGGCTTTCACAAAGGAGATGTTTTTTTAGGAATCGTATTCAACACTCTGGTTCTAAACAACTATTTGCTACTATAGATGAAATAGCTGGTTCCAATAGGTCAATTGCAAATGTCCTTCCAGATTTTGAATTGGAATCCCTACCAAATATGTTCATTGAGTTTTTCGGCAGTAAGATCCAAAAAATTCGTGATGAGCTTTGTGGTGATGCTGGGGCAGTGGCATGCTCAGAGCCTCAAACCTGTAATTCTCAGTTACTGAATTTGAAATTGTTGAGTGTTGATGAAGTCAAACGACTGGTGCTGAAGATGAATTCTAAATCATGTTCTCTAGATCCTTTACCCACATCTTTAGTGAAAGAGTGTATTGGCGAATTGGCATCTACTCTTACAAACATAACCACTACTCTTACAAACATAACCAATTCGTCCTTCAATGATGGTATTTCCCCAAGCGCTTGCAAGGCTGCAGTTGTACGCCCATTGTTAAAAAAAACCTTGTCTTGATAGAAATATTATGAAAAATTATAGACCGGTATCAAACTGTTCATTTCTGGATAAGCTTTTAGAAAAAGCAGCTTCAGCACAGTTCAATGACTATCTTTCAGAAAACTGTCTGTTTGGTAAATTTCAGTCTGCGTACAGGCGTGGACATAGTGTTGAAACTGCCCTCTTACGAGTGCAAAACGACGTCACAGAGTAAAAATCACAGAGTATATTTTTACTCTGTGCCGACGTTATGCTAGCGCTCAATAATCAACGTGACGTCATTCTTGTGCTGTTAGATCTGTCAGCGGCGTTCGACACAATTGATATTCTTAGCCAACGTTTGCAAACACGTTTTGGATGTGGGGGAGCTGTTCTGGATTGGATAAACTCGTTCATTCGGGGTCGCACACAGAGTGTTAGTATGAATCTGAATCTATCCGATGAGCCAAGTCTGGACTACGGTGTACCCCAAGGTTCAGTTATCGGGCCTGAGCTGTTCCCATTGTATGTTTCCCCACTCGAGGATATAATTGTCGGGCATGGTCTTCATACCATGATGTTTACCGATGACACCCAATTGTACATCTGCTGTGAAACTAGGATGGATCACACTGTTCAAGCTTCTATTGAGACCTGTGTGGACGAAATTCGGGGTTGGATGCGAGCGAATATGCTAGCATTAAATGATGGGAAGACGGAGGTTGTCTGGTTTTCGTCCCAGTACAAGATTGCGGATACGCGAGTCAGCACTACAGATGTACGGCTACAGAGATCAGCCCCTCAGACTCCATGCATGCGTGACCTAGGAGTGATGTTTGATACAGATAGAATGATGGCATCACAAGTTTCCAGTATGTGCAGTGCTGCCTCGTTTGGCTTATGGCGAATAGGGAGAATTCGAAAACTATTGGATCAGTCTACTGCTGAGAAATTGGTTCATGCTTTCGTGACCTCTAGGTTAGATTTCTGTGAACATATCAACCCCATTCTTCGAGACCTTCATTGGCTTCCCATTGTACAAAGATGTCGCTTTAAAATTGTATGTTTAACCTTTAAATTAATTTTCGATCCTTTTGCACACCTGTGTATTTAAAAGAACTTATCTGCATACAAACACCGAAACGTTTAACAAGATCATCAGAAGCTATCGGACTCAATTTGCCAACATTGAAGTCCAACAAAACATATGGGGATAGAGCATTTATGCAGAGTGCACCAAAGGCTTGGAATAAATTACCTGTTACAGTTAGAAATATTGAAAAATATGACTCCTTTAAATCGTCGTTAAAAACATTCTTGTTTAAAGAATATTACAATCCATTCTAAATGTTTAGTAATGTTGAAATAATTTACTTCAACTTCTACCCACAACATTGTAAAGCGCGTTGAGATATTATTTGTATATTGCAATGCGCTATATAAGAATATATTATTATTATTATTATTAATGTATCTATTATTCGGTTACACGTTTTAGCCAAAACCACGAAATTCCACAATTATTTCAACTCATATGATAATAATTTCTATCTATATTTAATAATACCTTGTTCTTTGTGCCAATTATTATTTTTTATTTAAAATCGTAACGTTTTAGTTTCAAAAATGTCCCTCAAAATGCAATTTCCAAAGAAGAGATTTCGTGCAATACACGAATTATGTCCCTTGGTTACAACTCCAAACTTGCTTGGAAATCCGGTGTCTCTGATTCTTCTAAAACGCCGAATGGCGAACACCGAAAAAATAGCGATAATGATCGGAATTCCCTCATTCCCGGCCAAATCTATTTGTTAAGGCCTGCTCAATTTTTGTCACTGTAGCTGAGATGTAAAAAAGGTTAGGGCACGCATGATTGTTAGCCAGATTGTAAGTTAAGGTTAGGGTAAGCATTGGGGGCTAGGTCTAGGGTTACGCTTAGGGTTAGGACTAGCGCCAGTCCTGTTTACATCGCGTGACCTATCACCTATGACGAAAAATTGAGCTGGCCTTATCATTTAGCACTAACCTTTGTTCCCAGCGTATTTATTTTTATTCTGCTGTAAAAATTGGAACTACCGTAAAATTAACAACGAATCGAAAAAATATCATGTGCTAATAATAAGAGAAGGCGTATATTTTAAATGCCATTCAAAGACATGTCTTCTATTCACTAGATGAAATAATTATTTTAAAGTCGATGATCATCATTGCACATGCAGTTTTCTTTGAACAAATAATCCAAATAAATTTTAAAAATCAATTTGAACGACGGGTGTGCTGATAATTCCTTTGAGGCTGAATTGACTTGCAAATAAGCCGAGGGTCATGTAACAGCTTGTCATATAATAGCAGAGGAATTATAAGGCACAGCATACATTGTGTCGGATGATATTAAAGAGACATTTCGCGAAAAAGGGTTTCCTGTAGGACGAACGGTCCATAAATATGAAATGAGGAAAATTCGTGAAATGTGTGTCATAATCTTTGAGAAATAGAGGTGTATTGAAGGATTTGAACATTTGCATAATATTATAAATAATAATTTCCAGTCCAGATTATTTCAACTCTCCCAATATAAAGCCAATAACTATTTTCCCCGAAGTATGATATAATAAGATAAGATTTTATTGTATCACAACGCCCATTTCAGGTCGTATACAGAATAGATGACATTATAGAACATACAATAAATAGTATATAATATATATATAAGAATTATGTAAGAGGTCGTTAAAAAGACAAAAAAATATACCGTTTGTGTATTTCAAGATGTCACGTAAAAGCAAATCGCATGGATATCGTAATGCGGATTAGAACGGTTTTTGTGCTAACACGCCAAGCCGAGTAAAAGGTATTTTAATATAGCCTACACCCGTATTTGCAAATAACTCCAGGTCGTGCAGGTCCCAGAACTTGCTATCTTTTCTTTAAATTCAAAATCAATTCTCTGTAGATCTACATCAAGGACAGAAATAGTGTCAACGCCATAGAAATATATATACTTTTGTTTAGCGAAACGACCCTTTACTTGATTAGCTAGTGACGTTCACGGTCTAGTCGTCTGCAATTGTTATTATTATTATTGGCGTGCCAGTTTTCACAAATTATCACTGAATCAAGTATACTTTTAGAAAATGGCGGACGAAACACAACAAGACAGTACGAACGAAGCAAACACTGGCTTTTTAATGGGTATTTTCTCAGAATTGTTAGGTAGTCCCTTGAACATTGCTTTATTGGGTGTCTGTGGCTTTTTATTGTATAAGATTATTGCTGGCAGAAGAAATACCGGCACACCTGCACCCAAAGAACCAGAGCTTCCACCTTTGAAAAAACAGGACTTTACTCTTGAACAGCTAAGGGAATACGACGGTAGAAGAAAGGATGGGCGTATTTTAATAGCAGTTAATGGGAAAGTTTTTGATGTAACGAAAGGCAAAAGATTTTACGGTCCAGGTATAATTTTTTTTTTGTTTATAATAATTATTGTAAGCATATTTGTACACCAACATTTATCTAAGCTTCGCAGGTCAGGCTAACCTAGCATTTCCTAGTTCAGCTCTGGTCTGAAGGTAGGTCTCATTACAATTACACTCGCCCTGTACGTTCAGGAACTGTTCTATTGAATCCTTGTTGAAAATCTAATCTCTTCCCAGTCAATTTTACTGGGCAACTTTTTACTGCTAAACGGTCGCGTCTCGCGTGTCAGTTCCTGTGAACGCCTGAACAATATAAATGAACATCTTAGTGAGAAAATAAGACCTTGCTTACCTCGCTAGAACCAGTATGAGAGACACAACACGCTGTTAAAAAATACGTCCCCGTCTTCTAACCGACTTGGCAGACTTCATTGATTTGAAAGGGTAACGCACAAATTTATCCATATAAGATGAAACGAAATTTAGGTAAGCCTGGGAGAAAAAAATTGAAATCTTTGAAAAGTTGAGAATCTTCAGTCATTTATTGCTTTGCCTAGCCAAATTACAATAATTTACAATCAATCATAAATTTTAAACGGATTTCTTCGATTATGAACAAACTACCTTACTTTGGTTATTATAAACTTACCTGTATGTTTGAAATCACCTCCCGTTAAATAAAATCCATTGCACAATTTAATATCCCAAGGAATAAAAAAGTTCTCTCTTAAAAAATTAAATTCCCACAAACTTTTGACAAAATGGAAGCTGATTACGTCACTCTTCGGGAGAGATCATTTCGTATTTAAAGGGGTTACAGCATGCAACAGTTTGCGGTACTTTTAAGACAATTCAATTTCAAGTTTTGTGGAAGAATAAGCTATAAGTCACAGCTCAGTATTAAGTTCTACAGTAAAATTTACTCGCGACTCAAAAATTCTTGACAAGGAATCAATAGGCCTGTTCCTGAATGTACAGAGCGTGTGTAACTAGACTTACGTTCAGAGCTGAACTAAAGCTAACCCAGTGGCAGTAAAAAAAGTGAGTTTAGAGAGGGGGTTATAATATGGGACTCTTAAAAAGGTACATGTACAGGGCTGCCAACAACCAGTATCGCAGCGCAATTTGCGATACATATTTTGTCCGTTGCTAATCAAAAATTAAACTCTAAAGTTTTTGATTCGCAGTAACTGCGAATCATTAATATGCCTGTCATTTTGGATATTGACACAAGGATAATCCGCATTTGAAGACTAGAAGGCTTTTTCAACACTTTCAACGTGTATAAAATGTTGAATAAAATTTTATAAACAAAACTGAATTCTCCGAGTGACATTTTCTACTCGAACTACCCAGACACAATTCATTATACGGTACTATATAATACAGGGACATAACTCTATGAATAAGGACTATTAAACCGGAAATAGGGAATCGGGTAGTACCACTCACGTTGCGAGACATCAAGTAATTATATCATATTCATTTTGAAAGAAATAAATCCAGTGTATCCCCCACGTATTGTAAATAAAATATAAAAAAATAAATATCTGTTAACGTATTGTAAAATGATAAATCAAAGTAAAAATTCCCGTAAAATATCGCGTGTGTCTAGTTAATCGAAGTGCGCCCGATTTAACAAAAGTAGCAATACACGATAAAAAGCAGACGAAATTGTTTTCTAACGAAGATTTCTAACGTAACAAAAAATAACAATTAAAATGATTGGGGCTTCGGAAGTCACTGTTAAGAATTGGCTTTAGACATAAGACCTAACTAAATGTCTACATCACATTCACAAACTGTCACAAGTACTTGTGGCAGTGCTAAAAAAATCTAAGAATAGTAAGAATGGAATCTAATCATATTTGTTATGAACTAAAGTAATATCTTGTTATTTAGGTGTTTTATGTTCAAACTGAAAAACTGCTAATCAACTTTTAAATTTGCTAATCAAATTTGGCAAAATTGGACTTTTTGATTAGCAGTGCTGCTAATCAACTGTGAAAAATTACCGACAGCCCTGTACATGTATTATCACTTTCAACAAAAAGTGTATCAAAATAAGCAAATTCAGCAATCATTTGATTAGCTGTTTGAAAGCAAGTCTATATAAGAGCTTTTACGAGTTTCCCTTTTGATGCCATTTTCGGTCATGCACATTGACTTGCTTTTTATTGCTCACGTCACAGAAACTAATACCCATTATATGTATGTTATTGAGTGAAAATACTCCCGTACCAATTGCTTGTTTAAAATGGAACAGAAAACTATTTCCATAGGTGAAAGGTTTAATACCAATACCTGAAGTTGATATTTATGTGATTATTAATTTGGTTAAAATTCTCCAATATTGTCTTAAATTCCTTCACGGAACAGCATGTGTGCTCTATTATATACTTCATTGCTCTATTTCCTCACATTTTATAACCAAACAGATGTTGTCTATTAATTGTTTACAGGACAATTAACACAAAAGATTTATCCTATTCACATTTAACGGTCGACTGGACCGTATATGCGAAGTTGTTATATCGTCTGCTATAGTGCTGGATGCTACCCTACTTTACACTACATACACTACTACATGTTGGTTGTTGAGGTTGTCGACCTAAAATTATAATTAGTATAAAATTGTGTATTTTTGTCAAAATTCCTCTTCAATATCAGAAACAATAAAACAATAATTGTGTGGGATCGGTGAATAATTTTTAAACCTCAAAGTAAAAAATAACAAAAAAAACTAGAACTGCGTCAGGTCACGTCTTGTTAGGTCAACAATCAAATTACGGTCATGAATTATTAAGTATAATAACATCCAATACCTAGTAAAGTGGAAAAACCTGTCATTTTGAACTCTTAATAAAACCGAAAGTTATATTTCTAGACCAAACTTTTTGATATTAGTCGTTCGTAGACGTCAGAGTCATTATATATGCAAAGGTCAAGGGGTCATTGAACGGCTAGGGCACCAGATAGAAGGTCAAAATTAAAAAAAAAATTCAAAGTGAAACTGAAAGTAAACAAAATCGAAATTCAAAAAACAGCTCCCTAATAATTTTTGCCATTTGAAGTAGGTTCAAAACCAAAAAAAAGTTATTGGAATCGAAATTGCGGCTGAATATTGATTTGAAGGTTCTTTTTAAAATCCAATATGGCAGCCAAACGGTTGAAAATACTAACATCTTGAATGTCAAAAATATGCTGAAGAAAACTTTCGCAAATCTTTGATGTTAAAACTAATTGAGTGAACTTCTGATTAATTTTAAAAAAGCTGTCAGTCAGAGCTCCCATGGGATTTGTCCAAAGAATCCAAAAATGAAAACCCGACGAAGATCTGTTGATAAATAATCAAGATATGGGCAGTCTGAGATTATATTTTGTCCCGTCCGTAAATCACTTCTTATTTGTCAAAAATGACGCAATTTATATTTAATAAATAGTTCCACGGTGGCCAACAATACCTACGTTGGCAGAAGGTTTGCACCATGGACAGTTTTGGCTGAATTAAAAAAATAACTCTAACAAAATAATAATAAAAAAAACCTCTTACAAAAACAATACGTGTTATGTACCATAAAAAAAAGATTAAGTCTAGTCGGAAGAGTTTTCCTAATGTTTGATTGATCGTGTACGCAGATGTATGTGTATATTTTTATGGTTTTCTTTTAAAATATAGAATTTACATAAATAATATGGAGTTTTATCAGGGAAGTAGAAATAGCATTGTAAACTTGTTAATGATAATGATTGTAATTAATTTCCAATTAGAGAAGCAGGTTGTTGAACTATATATACGTATTTATCAGCAATATGCCACGACTAATGAATACAATAACTAATGATACTTACTTAATTAATCTTACTGATTTATTAAACATGTTATACTGTAAACGAAAACATGGTAAAGTCATCTAAGCCTAATATATAATTTTAGAAATGATTTAAAGTCTGTATTACAAACTCTGAAGCAATGGTCCGAGAAATCCCTCTCTGGCCATTGTTGGATTGGCTTCTGATACTTGAACTTTTGAGGGAGTTTGTCTATTCTTCCCATTCAATCAAATCTATCCCAAGAACAGCAACATTGACAGTCCTTCAGTTTAATCTGGGTGTTCCCAAAAACTATGGACAGTGATTTAAGGTATTGAAAATGGTAAAACTATGTTCGTCTCCAAACAACATTGTTTATATTGTTTTCGATTTGATAGCCTTGTTTGTCACGCAATTAGTATTTCTGCAATATTCTGCTATGCACTGGTTAATTTGGCATAATAAAATCGTCAGTCATGATGTAAAGTTATGTAAACATATTTGGAGCTCTGTTTTAAGCGTAATGCTTTTGTAACACAGTTAGCTATTGGTTGTTAATCGGACCATTGATCAGTCATAATTTGGAACAGAAATTTGCTTTCGTTAAAGCAGTGTTTAGTGGGATAAGGTATAATCAAACAAAACACTGCGAGGAGTATGAGATGCGCCTTGCAATAAGAGTGGCATTCAAATATATACCTTATGTGTATTCAGAAAAGCACCTCAAACGTTATTTTCCCTTGTGAAATGAGTGACCTGATGAACGAGGCCGCTTCACAATGTCTGTAGATGCTATATTTTCGCCCACAAAAATAGTGAGAAGATTGCCCCCACGGTTGCTTTACATATTCATGATTACAGATTGATTGACAGCTGCCAGATAGGGTTAGGCCGGTGTAGTATGGTTCTTAATTTCCATGTAACTATTAAACTAATACATTACTGTGGGCAATGATATAGCATCCATCCACTATGTCAAACTTATAGAAAGTTATTGAGGCCTACCTTTACAGCTGTAAACTGAACTGTAAGCTTACATATAATTCTTCATAAAAACATCCTAGAGCTTTAGACAGAAGCATGGTTTGTTAAGCATTTTCCACACAACAAACTAAATAATTGAGGTGGCAGCTTTACAGTTTAAATGTTATTTTTTTTTAACCATAAATAATTTGAGCATGAATATGACTATGAGAATCTTTGTGCTAATTAGATTCTGAGATGTCTACGAATTTCTAGTCCTGTGTCACATAAATTTGTGTTATTGTTTTGATGTTTATATTTTTATATATAGGTGGTCCTTATGGTTTATTTTCTGGTCATGATGCTTCCAGGGCTTTAGCTACTTTTTCATTAGGAGAAGATTCCCTTCGAGATGAATACGATGATCTGAGTGATTTGAATAGTATGCAGATGGATAGTGTACGTGAATGGGAAATGCAGTTCACAGGTAATGTTTATAGTTTATAATCTGTACAACTTTAAACAAAGATTTCAGCCTGATAGAATCATGGACCGTATAGTTATAAGGTCCATGATAGAACCAGTTGAACTTGGCAAATAGAAGTACACATTGTATATAAACTTTTGTTGCTACTCTACAAGTCTAGTCTGTCTTTCAGTGTAGCCACGGTGAATCCAAGAGTATGACACTGGCTCACTGGACCACTGTTATGTATAGTTGCTACTCGTATCTATCTTTCAATGGAGCCATGATAAGTTAATGAGTGGGTTCTCTTACTGTGATGAACAAGAAAGATAATCCTGGTTTCCCCTTGTCAGTGGTGCAGGATGAAGGGCCTTGTCAGTGGTGCAGGATGAAGGGCCTTGTCAGTGGTGCGGCGTGAAGGGCCTGGTCAGTGGTGCGGGGTGAAAGGCCTGCCAAGGAAAAGTGTCTAGTCATTTGTATAGGATGAAAAACTGAAGTCCCATGTAGACGGAAAAATACCCTTGAAAGTTGAAATTAGATGAAGACTAGACAGCTGCCTATCTTCATTAGTTTTGATTGGTGCCGAACCCTATTTCATTTCTGTTTCCCCGTCGGCCCACAAGTTTTGTAAGGTGGAAGAATCCCAATAAGGAACCCTATTCAAATTCAGAGTCACATAAGAAATTTTAACAAAATAAATGCCCCTGTCACTGAAATCTAGTAAACTTTTTTAGATTTATTTTTCAAAACTATTAGAATCGTTAGGACGAACACTTGTTTAATTTCTGATTAATGCTACAAATTATTGATCCCAGCTTGAATTAAATTTGGTGAATATGAAGTTGGGTACAAAGTATTTACTACCTGGACCTGTCATAGGACATCTATCTCACAGCTGAGTCCAGAGACAAGTGGTATCAGATGTTCTGTAGGCATTCCCTGCTTTATGCACAACATAATTAGTTTATTTTAATGCCAACTAATAACAGTAATTTATGTTTTAGAAAAATATGTATATATCGGAAAATTATTACAACCTGGAGAACAAGCAACAGAATATACTGATACAGAAGATGAACAGAGTGAAGAAAAAAAAGATAGCGAAAAGAAATCGAACTGAGTAGTTCCATCCAATATAGCAAACTGTGATTTGCCTAACTGTATCTTTTTATTCCTGTACATTGTAATGCTGTAAATGTATGACAAGAGGAATTATATTTTGTATCGAATCGTTAAATTAACAATTAATTTCTTTGAAGGGTAAAGCAGAGTTCAATCTCTCTTCCTAATGAATTTAAAGTAGATCTAATAATAAAACAAACATGTAAAATGTTGATATAGTTTTTAAATGCTAGATACCTTAGAAGTATGTTTGAATGAGATACACTGTATTATATGTACACTATATACTAGGTATCTCAGTATATATTTATTTTAATGTATAGTAATATCTTTATCTTTATCTAATCTTGACTTTGTGTCTGGGTTCAAAAGTTAACGATTAACTTATGGATGTAGTTCAAGAATTTTTAAGAAATGCTAAGAAAACGGTACGTTTAGATGTTTTTTATTTATAGTACAGTTACTTGTTGGAATTCATATCTAAGAACCAACCTGAAAACTTAAGACCAAAACTAACTTTCTCTCTGTATTTCTCAGACATCATAATATTTGTCAAACCTCTACAGTTACACAAAATATGTTCAAAAACCATAGAAAGCATGATTTGATTTAAATCTTGACTAATTAAATTACTAGAATATTTTAATAGTTTAAATTTAATTGTAATATGAATACATATGAATACTTTGTAATTTGAGTAAAAGTTATTTGATAGGATGTGACATGATTATTTAATTAATAAAGACTTTCTATAATGTATTATTATGAATATTTATGTTTTTATATTAAGTTGTATGACTATTGACGCAATGATGTGGTTAATGATACCAATATTTAATATGGTGTTTATAACAACAATTTAAAAAAATCTTACTTGCAGAATTTTATATTCATCTATTTTATTTTTGCATTAATTTAAAGAGGTATGCTCACTTTTACAAAGGAACTGAAATGTAACAATAAAAGTTAAAAATAACTAAAATATGTGTATCTCGGCAATAATATATTGGCAGATTTATCTTACATTTTACACATAATCTCATTTAATCTTGATCAGCAACATCCTCCAAATCTAATGAAAATTATTTCTTTATTTGATTTCATCTTTACGCTTCTTATTTTATTTTGTACACAACATAAATTTTAGATATGTTCAGGACATATACCACCGACTGTTATGTACAAGACTTCAATAAGTTAAGAAATAGGTCCAAATATGATCACTTGGCATGATTGAAAGAGAGTTGTTTTCATTGACTGTTTTAGACTACACACGTGAAAACATGATACAGGGTTAAACTTGTCAGAAATTCAAATTGAAAAAAACATGTGATTTTAACCATATTATGATAATCATCATAGTCATATTACATGTTTAACATTCACCGTAAAATTATATCTGTAACATGAATACAATGTTATTATAATGTGTGCACCTTTATATTTTGTTTTGCACCTGTAGAATAGTCTGAGAATATGGATATAAATTTATATTGTTATGACCTTATATTGTACATGTGGTTAATATTGTTGAACTATCCACTTAACTGTCTTGTTGGACAAATTATAATTTAAAGAAAATATGGTCAAAATGACACGCCCTCTTTGACCAAATTAAACAAGTGTATCTTCTGTAAGTTTTGTAATACTGTTTTGTTTTATTGACCAATCTTCATAAAAGTGTTTTATGGAAATGTTTAAACCTCAGTGTTTATTCAAGCACACACATGGTCATATGTTATCATCACTATCTTCTGCTTATCTAGCATCCATTCATTATTATGTTGAAAACTTAACTCGATGGTTTTAAACTTTATATTGTTTACAAGGTCATGAGAATGAATGAGCAATTATGTTTCAGCTTTTAAATGTGGTTAAGTTCTAGTTAGAATATGTTTAAAGGAAAACTTCAGACATTGCAGTGTTATTATTTTTTTATTCATAATCTAATATAACAATAGTTTTAAGAATGTACAATTTGATGTAGAAACAGTTTTAATTAACACACTGACCGATGTGATGAATGAAGCAGTCAGTCACTATAAATAACCAAACTGGCTTTAATAGTCTTTCTGTTTGTGTGTTAACCTGTAACCATCTTGTTACAGCGACTGACAGTTCCCCTGGCATGTTAATTTGTTAATGCCAATATGATTGTACTGGATGGTTAAGTGTAGTTGATATCTATATATTACGCAATGTCTTGCACAAGACCATTAAACAGCTTAAAATACAGACACTATCCAGAACATGCATTTCAATGAAATTTGTCACACTTGTCCAATATTTCAACTAGTATAAATAATGTACTCTTGGCACATTGCCCATACCATTATTTGAAATAATGGTACGCCAACATCAAAGGATGAGGTCACATCTGTATTTTAAAACTATTTAAATAGATAATATAAATAATCTGCAACTGTTCCCCTTTAAACCTTCTGATGGGGGATTTATAAACGAGCCTGAATGTGTTCACTATACTTTTAAAAAGGAATCTTCCATATTTTTATAAGTATTACATAGGGATAGTACAAGTTACATTCTTTTCATTAAAATTGTTTTTCGGTATGGATGTAATGTCCCTTTATGGATTATGTTCATTTATGATATGAATAAAGGAGTGTAATGTATATAAAGAAAATCTTAGGGTGGTAATAGTTCATAGATATGTGTATGGATATTTCATACTGTAAGTTGATTAGGTTTACTGTAATTAAATAATTTGTTGAAATAAAAACTATCAAATGTAAACTGGTTATAACTTTATATAAATATCCAGCCTGGTTTTCCCTTGTCAGTGATGCATGAAGGTGGGCCTGACAAGGACAGCTGTCTAGTCATTCGGATGATACAAAAAACTGAGGCCCCATGTACACATTGGCGTGCACGTAAAAGATCCCTTGACAGTTGGAATTCGATATAAGAGTAGGCCGTAGTGCCATTGTCCGGGCAAAATTTCCCTCATAGCACACTGTATGTCGTATACCCAGTTTGGAGCAGAGCACAGTTGGAATTCGATATAAGAGTAGGCCGTAGTGCCACTGTCCGGGCAAAATTTCCCTCATAGCACACTGTATGTCGTATACCCAGTTTGGAGCAGAGCAGTAGGACGTTAAACTCAATTTTATTTCATTTTATATAAATAATACAAGACAAATTGTTATCCCTGTTGATTAATCAAAAGATCAAATATTTCTAACTTTGTATAGACTCACAATGAAATATGGCCGTATACTTACTATTGTCCGAGTGTCCGTCAGTCTGTCCACAAGCACAATTGCTTGTAGTCACTCTAGAGGCTAAAGTAAATATCCTATTATCTATAATATGTAAGGCCAGGAAGACTGATAATTTTCATCAATTTCCAATAATTAATACCAGATTTATAGCCCATGATCTCTTTGAAAAATCTTGTGGATGCTCTTTAGACCGAAGTTATCATCCAATGGAATTCAGATGTTTACACAGTGTTTAAGGCTGTGAAACAGAGAAGCCTTTTAGTTCTAATCAATTTCTGATTACTGCTACCAGAGTTATGACCCTTGATCACTTTGAAAAGTCTTATGGATGATTGACTTTTAAATTGATACACAGACTTAAAAGGAAAGATTCATGTAAATGAGAGAGAGAGAGAAATGGGGTTTAACGTCCACTCGACACAAACCAGGTCATTTCGGGACTAACATGGTTTAATTTTTATTTCAATAATTCGCTTGCGCGTAGGGGTCTTTAGCAGTGGGAGGAAACCGGAGGACCCGGAGAAAACCCACGAGGTTGGACAGGCGATCCTACTCCTTGTCACGTACAACCGGGGATGTAAATGAGACATTCTCCGGAAAATATATTAATGCATATAATTATGACATCTAAAATGTTTTATCCACTGGAAAAACAAAGCTATATCCTCTCAGTCTCATATAAAATCTGTAAAACCTCATCGGTTTCCATTAAAGGGTCACATTGGGAAACTGAATGAATTAAACTATATTCAAGTTCGTTTTTTTTTTTCCTCTCCTATAATTTAGTGCACAATTCACCTACACAGAGGCTAATCTCTTGTATCAAACTGAACGTGGTGAATGTAAGACTAATGGCAATCAATGCAATGTCAATGGCAAAACTTGAAGCAGATATGTGTTAAACTGATAAATGAGACAAACACTATATAACACCACAACACACCAGCCCTTTAAGGTCGGGTACAGCCAAGACACTTGCGTTGTCTACATTAGATGTTATAATACAAACTGGTCCAAGCAGAATTTGTGACTTTTACTCATTTTATGCCTTCCCATACTATATTATGTACCCATTTACACCATTTAAATTTGTTTTAGAATTTAATTTCCAGGAGAAACAAGCAGTTGCCATGCAAGATACGCCCACATTATGCAAGAGATGGACAGAAAACAAGCTAAACAAGCCAACAGTGAGGCTGATGTCCCCCGCTGAAATCCCAAAATAAATAGATGACATATTAATTAATCGCACATTTATTTTTTTCAAAAGTATCGAGCAATCAAACTATACACTAAGTTTCATCATTCTCTATCTGATAGAATCACGATTATGCAGTCATCACTCTCACTTAATTAGAATTAAAGTTATCATGTCCCAAAGCATCAACCAATCAGATTGCTTATCTCTGTTTACCATAAGCAAACAATGTTCATCATCGAACTCTATCAAGGCATTCACCTAATGAACGGCTACACCAAGTTTGAACATTCTACCTCAATTAGAAGGAGAGTTATTGAGTTCCAAAGTCTCGACCAATCAAATTGCGTATCGCTCTGCTTACCCTGAGCAGAAAATGCTCATTATCAAACTTAGTCAAGGTATTACTGTAATGAAACTATACACCAAGTTTCATCAATCTCACTTAATTAGAACTAAAGTTATCGTGTCCCAAAGCATCAACCAATCAAATTGCTTATCTCTGCTTACCCTAAGCGGAAAATGCTCATCTTCGAACTCCATCAAGGCATTGACCTAATCAACACATACACCAAGTTTGAACATTCTAGCTCAATTAGGAAGAGAGTTATCGTGCCCCAAAGTATCAACCAATCAAATTGCTTATCTCTGCTTACCCTAAGCGGAAAATGCTCATCTTCGAACTCCATCAAGGCATTGACCTAATAAACACATACACCAAGTTTGAACATTCTAGCTCAATTAAAAGTTATCGTGTCCCAAAGCATCAACCAATCAAATTGCTTATCTCTGCTTACCCTAAGCGGAAAATGCTCATCTTCGAACTCCATCAAGGCATTGACCTAATCAACACATACACCAAGTTTGAACATTCTAGCCCAATTAGGAAGAGAGTTATCGTGTCCCAAAGCATCAACCAATCAAATTGCTTATCTCTGCTTACCCTAAGCGGAAAATGCTCATCTTCGAACTCCATCAAGGCATTGACCTAATAAACACATACACCAAGTTTGAACATTCTAGCTCAATTAGGAAGAGAGTTATTGTGTCCCAAAAAGTGTGACAGACAGACAGACGGACAGACAGACGGACAGACAGACAGACGGACGAACCCATTTTAATAGTCCCCTGCTTTCTTCGAAAGGCGGGGGACAAAAAAAAAGCGATTTTTCATACAATCAGGGCACATAATCCAGGAAGTTATGTTCCGATATGTGCGAATATTGAAAGGAACCAAGATCTTTGAGATATAAACATATATTTTAAGTTTCTTCAAAATCAGATAAAAATTCTGACCTCTTAGAGGTTCCACAACCTTGATATTACATACTTTTACACCATTTGTGTACAAGGAGTGGCCATTTTGTCAGGCAGTCTCAATCTGATTTTCACGAAATTTGAACTAAATCATCACTATGAAGTAACAGTGATATATTGGAACAATTTTTTAAATCAGATAAAAAATGTGATTTTTTGTACAATCAGAGGTCATAATCCAGGAAGTTGCGGTCTGATATCCGCGAATATCGAAAGGGATCAAGATCTTTGGGTTATAAACCTATATTTTAAGTTTCATATAAATCGGATAAAAATCATGACATCTACAGTATCCACAAACTAAAAACGTGATTTTTTGAACAATCAAGGACCATAATCTATAAAGTTTTGATCTGATACATGTCAATATCAAAAGGAACCGAGATCTTTTGGTGATAAACCTATATTTCAGGTTTTGTTGAAATCGGATAAGAATTGTGACATGTAGTGTGTCCACAAACAGACAGGGGCAACGACAATATACGTCCACATTTTAAAAACAGCTATCTAACTCGACCCGATGTTATCCCTATCAGTGATACTGGTGGCCAAGCGAATATTTACCGCTGATTAGTTTGGAGAACTTACTGTTGATTGATAAATGGTTCACTTCAAAATTTGTATATGGTTTTATTTGGCAGGTTATGGGGAATGTACTCCAGTAAGAAAAAAACAATTACTAAATGGTATGAAATATATTTCTATAAAACATGGTAAATAATGGACATTGCATTAAAACATATTTCTTACAAAATACAAATTATGGCATTACATGCAAGGCTATGTCATTTAAAATATCCAGATATTAAGTTTAGTTCCTTTACGGTTTTTATACAAAATTAAATTTACATGCAAGAAAAAAATCATTTCTAACACATCAATTGCTCAATTGAAAATCTCTACTTTTTAAACATCAAAATTAGTGACAAATTATTTTTTTTTGTTTTTCCTTCAATGTACCTTTCTAAGAAGCAGGACCGGAGGGATATATTTTAATAAGACATAACAAAACAAAATTTTTGATTAAGCAGTTAATACAGTCTCCCTTGTAATCAAATATAATTTAACACGAACACATTGTCTAAGATTATAAAAATCTTATATATATATATATATAACATAATTTTATAAAAAAAAATCTTTTCAATTTAGCAATAAATTTGATCAGATTCAGATTTTGTCTGTACCATCCAGCTTTAATAACAAAAATGAAACAAACTATATTACATGAAAACAAAGATCTCAATAGGATCATATAATAATTGTGTCCCTTCATATTCTTATAATCTACATGGCAAAAAACAAATGTTACAATAATCTTAATTTTCCAGAAAAGAAATACCATTAAAATATGCATGTGTACCTTTTAATATAGTTCTGTGAATAAAAATATTATGACCAGTGGTTCAAAAACATTAACAAATCCGAGACTAACATCTAAAGATAGATTTAAGAGTGATATTAAAGTTTTATAATATAGGTTTGTTACTGGTAGGACAATCTGATCAAAATACAGATCTATATTTATTTTCGTTTTTTTATACTTTCGATGACCTCTACTACATGAAGATCTGACAAGTTGTAGTAGGAGGTCGCGTTCGAAGTTTGATTAACCAATCAAAGTTGATGTTTCTAGTAGGATACCCATAGTTCCAAGCATCACATGCCCGGAACTCACTGCAACAGACTGTTTCAGGGGAATGCGTGTTATATAACAACTCTTCCAGATCCTAGTGTTGTAAAGACAAGTAAAACAAAATTTTGAACTACGAAAAAACAAAACGAAATAGGATCTGTGTTTTAATGAGATTGCTGTTTGGATTAAAATCATAGTTGTAATACAGTTGATATTGTTTATGATTACTTCAAAATGTAAAGCATAACAAATGTCAGTAATATGATTATAAAATATTTAATAAAATCAAAATAATTAAATAATAATTAATGAATGATATAATCATTGTGGAATCATAAAGTAATGGTCTTCTTAATACTTGTCAGTTTCATTTATATTTATTATAACTATGTTTTAACAATTCCTGTATAGCAACTATACAAATATATCAGATGAAACAAAATTGAAATATAACATGATTTACCTGTAAAATAGAACACCTTTTCTTTCTAAATTAATATATATTAATATAGAACAATTAGTCACACTATTCTATGTTACATAATCAGTAAGCAGTGTTTGTTGACAGTTATCATTTACAGCTAATTGTACTATATTTCACCTGTGTAAATAAACATTACTTATATCACCAATACAGCCATACTATTACAAAACAAAACTGGCCCTAAAATAATTGGAATTCAATACCTTGACCAATAAGTATATAATACAGGCAATCAAAACAGAAAGTAAAGAATTTGAATTAGTCATAGGTTGATATCTAAAGTACAACACATCCTTATGACATTGTTGATGTAAAAATGAATTTTACCATAATTTTTTAATTGTTCCATGTCAAGTAAATTGTATAGTTATATGATAATTGAATTCCAGCATCAAATCTGAACAAAATATCATTTCTTAATCTTTCTACAGACAGCACATTAAAAACATCACAAAACAAACAAATATTTAATGACAATGTTTGTTAATATCAGATGAACACAAACAACAATATCAATATAAAAAATATAATTTGTCATTAAGTAAGTCGGCATGCTATAATATGTTGACAAGATGTTGTAAGATATTTATAGTATTTTGTTTACATGTAAATAAAGATCAGACTAGAGATCTAGTTCTCAAACTACCATCTAATCAACAAAGTTCTTAAATAACCATCTAATCAACAAAGTTCTTAAATAACTATCTAATCGACAAAGTTCTCAAACTAAGATTTAATTAACAAAGTTCTCAAACTAATATTTGATCAACAAAGTTCTCCAACTAATATTCTAAGATTTAATCAACAACTAAAATGGATTATAAAGTTAAAACTGGGATCTAATTTACTCTCAATAAACTTTTTACATGAAATTATATAATCAGTTGCACAAGGATAAGAAAATGCTCATTCTTTTCAGTTGGAACCTCTTTGCTATTTATCATTTTTATCCATTTCAAAATTTAATTCTGATTAGACACACACGGTGAACATAATTCAAGTTACAGAAAGATATATCTTAATATAATGCAAGTTGTACTAAAGATAGATTTTAATTCAAGCAAAGAGTGTCAATATTGAAAAAGTTGAAATCCAGATTAAAACTTCCAGTTAGCCATATATTTAGATAATTAACAAGATTTTAAAAGAGTGAGTAATTAAAATAAAGAAGAAATGGAAGTATAATATATCAGATCTACATGGTATAATGTTAAAACTATCTTTGGTTTCTATAGAATTAATGTGAATAATATCTGGTACATCTTTTTATTCTATTCCATACTACAATATAATTTAAAATTTGACATGTTTTTGATTGTTATTAATCTTATATTATGTGTAAAATGAGTTTATTTTTAGTCCACAATTTTCCGTGCCTTTCCAAAATTCATACCCCTCTGTGACGCTCCGGTATTTGTTCCCATTTGAAGACCTATTATAGTATTACCAGCTTTTAACTTTTCATCTGTAAAGTTACGAGGATTAGCAGATGATTCTTTTATTCCTAATGATGGTCCCAAAAAACCGTTCCTCTGTGCCTGTGAAAATACCATACAACTCTTACCATCACAACAGGTTACAAAAGATCAAGTTATAAAATGGTGAATGATGGAAGAAATAGGGTTTAACGTCCAATTGTCCGGCACCGATTGGGCTAATGAAGACGGGAAATTTTGCCTCGACAGTGGCACTATCTAAGATGGCCTCTCTTAAATCAAATTCCAAGAGTCAAAGATTTTTTATATGCATGCTAATGTGACACGGGACCTCTATTTTTTGTCCCATCCAAAAAACTGTTCTTGCCAGGGCCTCTGTCCTTCACCACTGACAATGTGAAATGATAGGGAAAATTCCAAGCAAATTTCTCAACCAACATCTGGATCGAACCCTGAACCTCCTGGTAAGTGAGCCAGCACCTTACTCACTGAGCCACCGTGACTCCAGTAGTCAACAACCTTCAATATTCTACTGATAAATGTACAGGTTGTGACATAGCTGTGTTAGACCAAAGATTGAATCTAATACTAGTTTTCAGCTAGCCTGGATGACATTTAGTAATTACTAATGGGCTAATGAATACAATTATTGTTTATTACTTATCAACCATAGTAGTTTGTTTATACAAGAAGAAAACATTTAATTTTTAACATGTCACAATCAGTAAACATCAACTACAGACTTCAACAAAAAGATCACTTTAATAAACCCATGTTGCAAAAATAATGTAAATTTTTAAAAAAATGGAAATAAATATAATTTACTTACTGCTCTGCCTAAAGCATGCAATGTATTCACTACTTGGGTCATATTCTGATTCTTTTCATACAAATCATTAGTTTGAAAAATATCCAATTTCTTCACTCCATAATCTTCTATAGCTTTCAAAAAATGATTTATATTTTCCATCTGTTTAAATGGCATTGAAGATGTATTAATTTTTCGAATGCTATTTGGTTGAATGGCATTCATTAATCTATGAATAAAATAATACACATATATCGATAATGCTTGATTTTCTTTCCCAGTAAGATTTACATCAGAAGTGGGTTCGACGTATAAAAACATGCTTGTATCACAACAAATCTGATATCAAGCTGGTACTACAAGAACAAATCGGGTGGTTAAATAGGAATAAAAAGTTGACAGACAATTAGCAATAAATGCATTTATTTATACCAAATATAGATCAGTCAAAGTAACAGCAAACACCTCTTCAATATGAAAGCCAGGCATTAAAATTACTTTTTTTCAGAATTGCAGACGAATAGGGTCATATGACATCTAGTCATACTATTCATTCTCTTTTTTTTTATACACCTACATTGAAATGTGGTCATATATATTGTCGTGGACCCCGTCCGGCGTGGATGCTCTAGAGGCTAAAGTGAATATCCGATTGACTTTAAATTTATACACAGTGTTTAAGGTCATGAGACGAAGAAGCGTATTGATTTTCACCGATTTCCAATAATTACTGCCCGAGTTATGGCCCTTGGTCACTTTGAAAATTCTTGTGGACACTCCAGAGGCTAAAACTCCATTTCATTTATTCATTAACTGTTGAGGCTAAAGTTAATATAAATTGTTTAAGGTCAAGAGACAAACAATTGAAACAAATTGTGATGTTTTCTTATAATTACTTAATGGGTTATTACTCATAATCAGATTTTCATGTGTTTTAAATGTTCTCATTCCCGACAAAGAAAAATTATGCAACAACACTTGTTGACTGCCCGGACGACTTAGCTGCTGTGGGCGTATGTTTTGTTGCCTGGCAACCTGTCTTTTACCAGTGGGAATTTTTTTTTTTGCACAATATTTATTTTATCCAGAAATAAAAAGAACTTACTCGCATAATACTACTCCATCTTTTAAAGCTAATCTAAAATTATCCATTCCTAATATTTCTGATTGATCTGCACCCTGTTAAAAAAAAATATTGAGCCTGCTGAACATAAAATTTAAAATTTTTTTTAAAAAAAACAACACAAAGAGCATTGTTATTATAATATTAACAAAAGTATACAATATGGTTTAAGGCAGACACATTGAATTAAAACTTAACAAATGTTGACAGAAAACCATTTTGTAATTATAAAAAGAGATTTTGTATCTATAAAATCCCTTAGATTATGGTCAATAAAAATCAAGTAACTAAATTTGTCTAACAACTGTAACATATTCTTCAATGCAGCAAAGCTCCTTCACTAACCAATATAAAAGGGAGAAAGATAAATGTGGTTTAACGTCCACTCAACACAAACTAGGTCATTTCGGGACCAACATATGGTTCAATTTTATTTCAATAATTTGCTTGTGCGTAGGGGTCTTTAGCAGTGGGAGGAAACCGAAGGACCTGGAGAAAACCCACGAGGTTGGACAGGCGACCCTACTCCTTGTCACGTACAACCAGGGAATCGAAACTATGCCAGTTGACTCAATGACAGATCTAATGATACAGCGCACCCGTGCTAACCATTCGGCCATCCACCCCCCCCCCCACCAATATAAAGGATCACATCAACCGAATTCAATATTTTATTTGAAATCAAATAAAGAGCCCCTGCTATTTTTTAAATCACTTCAAGGTCTACTTACAGCCACTAATGGTCTTTCTAATATTGCTTCTATCCATAATCTAGCATCTTGTTCTAAATCACTATCATATTTATCACGAATCTATAAAATAAAATAATATTTCAGACATGCCACAGATAATAATACTGCATACTTTTATTATTTAAAATTGCTTACTATTAATATTACAATGTCAGAAATTTGTGAGAGGAAATTGAAACAGGAAAGAATTCAATGTGACATCCTAGATTGTAATAGGGTAAAGCTGTTCATTAACTGATAATTTATCATCCTAAGGTCATACAAAAGACACATTCTGATAAATAACTTCTAGTTTCAAGAAGAAATGTTCAGTTTGTAAGAGACAATATGGACAAGCAGTAATCAATAAGGATGAATTTATTTATGAAATAAAACAAATAGGTCATGCAGACCTTTTCCAGTGATGTGTGGTATTAAGAAACCAGATTTTTTATATGTCCTAATATGGTCTCTGTATTCATGCTTTCTATTAATAGTAACAAGTCAAGAGTAAATAAATAGATGACAATTATTCATTACTGGCATATTTCACACTGATCAGTAGTGAATAATCGCTAGTCTGTTACAATCACTGATAGGATTCTAGAACATTTTATTTAAGCATTAGAAAAATTATTAAAGATGTTTCAAGTATATGTAGGTAAAAAATATTTCCTATTTAGTGTAAATGGGTATGTAAAATTACTAAAAGGCAGCATTCTGCCCGGACCAGTAGTGTCTTGTGTAAACAATAAACGTGCCATTAAGCCTGTGATTGACGCTGTGTGATGGGATGTCACATGATATTAGTCTTCGTAATACCTCTGTGAAACAAATTGGGCACATTTATCTGTCTATGAAGTATCTACCAATCAAATTGTTTATCACTCATCTTAACCTAAGTCGAAAAAACTTATTATCAAACTATACTTGTCACAGTATTAATGTAATGAAAATGAAACTGTACAACCATCCCAACTCAATTAGAAACAGAGTTTTGGGGTTCTAAAGTCTTGACCACCTATTAAATTGCTCATTTCTGCTTAATATCAACAGAAAATGATTGTCATCAAACTCAGTCAAGACATTCACATAACGAACATCTACACCAAGTTTGAACATTCTACCTCAATTTGAAGCAGAGTTATTATGCCCCAAAAGTCTCACCCATTGAAATTGCTTATCTCTAAGCATAAAATGTTCATCATGGAACTCAGTGAAGATATTTCACCTAGTGAACATCTACACTTAGTTTGAACATTCTGTACTATCTCTAGTGTTGAAAATCGGATCAAGATTTGTGATCCGAATACTTTTGTTTGCTATCCGAATACTATTCGTCGGATAATTCGGAAACGTAAAATTCTTGAACAAAATCACATCAAAAGTTCATATACTCATAATTTCTTACTTATTTCAATGTTTATGAGTGTCTGTGTATGCCGAGTATGAAATCTTACTTTCGATTTGCAAATTGTTTGAGCCGCGAAGAAAAAAACGTGCCTACCTTTAGCCGCAATTATTAAGACTATTCATGATATCCAAAAAAATCAACGAGGTGAATAAATTTGTGTATAACTACCCCCTGTAATCTGCGGCTGTCCCACTTATCATTTTTGCTCAATCAACACGAATGAAAAAAGTAAAATAAAAACATCTAACATTTATTCCGCCAAGGTCGTTTGCCTCATTCTGATAATCTACTGCTATTGAACCAATCAGTAAGTGAGAATATATACGTGACCTAGGTTGTTATGAATAGTATTAAATTACATTGCGGGAAGTCTAAACACAGTGTTAACTTGTATCCCGTAAACCCAAGAAGTAGCTTCTATCTAGCGTAAACCAGCGCGAGGAATGAATGAATATTTTTTTATTTAGACTACTGTTTTCGTTGCACTGCATTAATATTTTTATTAGTTACTATCGCTAAATAATACGTGTGATATTAACATTTATGCTCAAAGCTGCGTACGTGATCAATAGCATTGAGGAAAATTTCAAAGTAATCAGATGTAAAAAAGGCTAAATATAGAGCATAGGGAATGTCAGAATATTTTGTAAAGAATAGTAAACGGATAGTAAAATGATTCGGATAACCCTTATTTTGTATCTGTTAACGGATATCCGAATAGTAGTTTCAACACTAACTATCTCAATTAAAAGTCGAGTTATTGTGTTCAATCTTAAAAAGAAGGAAACTATAACAATTACAGGGAGACAAAACACATCCTACCTTTCTATTTACTTCCCCTGTTAAACCAAATGCTGTTGGCCTGTAAGCCATATTGTTTCTCTATAAAACAAGTAAAAATTAAAAAAATAATCCTGGTTATTCCTTGTATCTTAATACATGTAATAACATCAATATAACATCCACTCGCCACAAACTAGGCCATTTTGGGACTAACATATGGTTCAATTTTATTTCAATAATTTGCTCGCGCGTAGGGGTTTTAGTAGTGGGAGGAAACTGGAGGTTGGACAGGCGACCCTACTCCTTGCGAGGTACAACCAGGGAATCAAAACCATGCCAGATGACTCAATGACAGACCTTATATATGATACCATTCAGCAATCCAACCCGCCAAATCCGAAAGAAAGGCATCTAGCTTGCTAGGGGCAAACAAAGACAACAAATATTGTTAAAATCAATAAATGATAAACATGATTTGTCAGTCAGCCATTTTGATGAATTATTACCAACATGGAAATCAAGATTTTGCCAAAAGAAAATGCTAGTTTCAGCTGGCCTTAATAACCATCACATGCAATGTACTTACTAACGTTAAAGACAGATATATTCTCTTGTATTAAAAAGCACGTTACTGTTCAGTATTAAACTCTATTTTGATTTATTTACTGTGCAAATACACCTGAAAAATAGAAAAGTAACCAGTTAGTTTTACAAATTATAGAAAAGAGGGTCAAAATATGAATTTGCCAATAGGGCTTTTTCAGCGCCTTTATGAAACTTAAAATAAATGGTTTTAAAATACTGATAATTGAAGCAGGAAAAAAAAAAGACAAATTTTTTGTTATATTCCGTTTATTTAATGTCCTTCACTCGCCAAATCTGAGTAGGCCTACTTTATGCCAAAACTGAGTAGGCCAAATTTAAAAGCTGCTGTAAAACATGTAGAGATAATATAAGATCAATTTTATTGTATAAAATCGTCCAAGGGGAGCAGCATACAATTACACAAATTACATTAATACAGTACAACGAATACTGTATCTACTATTTATAGACAGTCATGACTTGGCAGACTGAAGACTAGGGTCTCAAGATCTAGGGAGCCTCCAGCTTTACACAAGTATGTTCAAAACACACTTTCATTTTGTTCTTGTCGTGAAGGTGGGGGTTTGGGAGGGTGCTTACAGTGTGGAATAGCAAAGGACCTCTCTTAATCTAAATCCGATACTACCCACGGTGGATCACTCAGTACGTAGCTGTGATTTGGAAATTATTATTACCATAATATTAGGCCTACTGCTAGTATAATCATATCATTATTTATTACAAAGGAATTCTTGATTCTTTGTTTCGCATTGCATTTACTTATTATATATTGACTAGTAATAGTAGCATAGAAATGAATTAGAAAACAAGCATAGGCCTACCCATTTGAACGAAACAACTAATAATAGTAATAATCCACTCGATTTTGACTTAAAACAATAGAGTGTACTATGAGGGAAATTTTGCCTGTGCAGCGGGACTATGGCCTACTCTTATATCGAATTCCAACTGTGTACATGGGACCTTGGTTTTTTGTCCCATCCAAATGACTAGACAGCTGTCTTTGTCAGGCCCTCGATCCAGCACCACTGGCACTGACATGAGGAAACCACGTCAGAAAATCCTGATGAACTTTCTAGGCCAATGCAATAATATGTATAGTGTCAGTGATTTGGTAACTTCCCGGAAGTTGATAATACCAAGATATCTTTGACAAATTTCTCCCAAACTTGACCGTATTGGTGAGTTGCATGAACTCAAGTACATTTATGGCTCCCCCAAATTCATGCATATTCTTGGAGTGCAGGTGCTGTACGTTGGCCTATAGTTGAATTGCGGAAGTGAGGGCAGAGATTCGCTTAATTAGTAGAACAGTTGATTAATATTAATTAATGTATGTTCCTTCCTTCATTTGGCCGATCATAAGGCGTGAATCATTTACTAAACATGTTCCTCAATATATGCTTGAAATGGTCTGCAACAACGACAACACAAAGCATGGAACATAACAATCAATGCATGAATCATAATTTCAATTTCTACACTCCCAATTCAATAACATTTTTCAGCAGACCGCAAAAACTTTCCGTAGAAAAGTAGGTCTATTGTTTCGTCGCCTGACATTATTACAACACCAAATTTAACTTTCTTTTTTATTTTGACCACTGTAAAATAGTTTGTATTGTACATATAAATATAAACTAACCTGATATGGTATTAATATAAACCGCACTCGGCAGATAATATGAACCAAGTTTTTAAACGTCCTTATCAGCCACTAGACTATAGCAGGATGTCACCTCTGGAATGTAACACGGTCATGGTGTCACAGGAAAGACCGTCCAGGAGATATTTCGTACCAATTACTCAATTGTCTGAGATAGTTCGTACCCATGCAAAATGTTCGGCCACCAACATGTTACGAAGATACTGTTGAAATGAAATCGGGTTTAGGGTCCTACACTGTACCGACTGAGATAAAAGACAGGTATAGATAGATGTATATAAATATATAAGATATTTATTACATAAAACACATAAAATAAAATTATTGGTTATTTTTGGCTTTATATGGGTAGCACGATTTACCCAAATTCACCCAAACCACCATTATTTCAACTTGCCCCTCAAAATGCGAGTTCCAGACAAGTTTGGAAGTTGTAACCAAATCCCACCATTATTTTAATTCGTATCACAATTTATATCGATGGTTAAATACCTCTCTTTATGCTAAATGGTCATTTTGAAAATAAAATCGTAACTTTTTTGTGTCATAATTCCCCCTGAAAATGCGATTTACAAGTTCTAACCAAAGAACATAACTTGTGTATTACACGAAATCGCTTGCTGGGAAATTGAATTTTGAGGGACATTTTAAAACAAAAACGTTGCGATTTTGAAGTAGCCAAGTCTCTAACTGAATATCATCCAAAGTCTTCGACATTGAAAACACGAATTATTTGTCAATTTAAATCAACATTGGTGTTATCGTATCGTGAAAAGATGAGCTTCTGATATCCAATATTTAAGACAAAATAAACATTTTCCAATTGGTGCACGAATCGTGTACCATAATGCGTTTCAGCGCTATTTGTAATAAAGGACTCGAAGAACGAGGCTAGACATTCCACAAGTCATGTCAAACGATGAGGCCATATTCTTATCTGGGAGCATGCGCAATAAATACTATCGGTGTAGATTGGAATAACCAGACTCTAGAGATTGCCATTCGATTGACACTTCTGGCGTATTTCGCCGAACATAACTGATTTGAAATTAGAGTAAAAACGGAAACGATTAAATGTAAATCAGTTGATATACATTCATATTACATTATTATATGCGTTGCGACCCATTTGTGTCAATTTCTTTAAATTAAAAATGACAATTTGGAACAAATAACAGTACATTATCAAATATACATGTATAGATATAAATGAATATTATTAGAATTATTTGAACTTGTTCAGTTATATTAGGGATAACCATAAAACAGAGAGCGGCTGGTTGAAATATAATCGACTATGATGCACCCGTTGTAATTAATATAAGTATGGGCGCCCAAGAGATCGCCAATACATCAGCCATATTTTAGGATACAGACACTTGTAAATTAATTCATTATGACTAATTCTAGACTTACAGATATTAGTATTTATGGTATTGACAGGCAGTTCGGCTATTAGATATGGATAAGGGGGTCACGGTGGCTAAGTGGGTAAGACGCTGGCTCGCTAGCCTTGATTGGCCGAGAAAGTTCATCCAGATTTTCCGGCATGGCCCCCCCTTGTTAGTGATGCAAGACGGAGGGCCTGACAAGGACAGCTGTCTAGTCGTTCGGATAGGACGAAAAACCGAGGTCCCGTGTACACATTGGCGTGCACGTAAAAGATCCCTTGACAGTTGGAATTCGATATAAGAGTAGGCCCTCATAGCACACTGTATGGCGTTAGCCCGTCTTCATTAGCCCAGTTCGGAGCAGAACAGTAGGTTAAGGTTTATTTTGGAAGCGTGAGCAGGTCTCTACATCGTCAGAGATGAGCACATCCTTAAAATATTTTATTATATCATTTTCAATAATATCAAACAGGTTGATGTGTTTTGTTAGATTGCCAAATAGATGAATTTTGTGATGGGATATATATATATTGAGGCAAGAAAAATATATTTTATAAATTTTAAGCCAGATTATTTCCCCATCCTTTGAGTCTACCACTGTAATCCCTGACGACAACTTGCCCCCCCCCCCCCATTCTCGTTTGGGATGTGGCAACCAGATCTTTGACCTGTCCTACTGAACGTAAATCCAGGAAATCCGTGAAAATGTCATTAAAGGAACTAATTACGACGTTTCGTAACACACGCCGGTAACGTATTCAAATTCATGACAAATATACATCTGCATGTGTTACGAAACGTTTTTATATACTCTTCAGTAGGGGATATTCAGAAACAATACAAAACTGCGGAAATACACTGCTGTTTTTATTAGAGGTAACAAATAACAGGCCAATTGCCTACACATGAACATAAACAGTTCATATGGGCGGCTTATCTAACGGCCCCATTTCACTCGCAAAGAGATACACCGTCAAAAGTGAAAATGGACGTTTTATGATTTTTGTCTTAATAATGAGTAATTGCTCCACCAATCCTCAGACATTCAGCAATTCGTCGTGGCATGCTCCTAATCAACCGTCCAATCACGATTTGGGACAATCTGACCCACTACTCTTGCAGTGCCACGGCCAATTTTTGCAGTGTTGTCGGTTGACGTCGACGAACACGTCTCCCGATCAAACACACTAAAGCAAAGATACGCTAAACAGTAAATCGTATGCAAGAACCGATAGGAAAACAAACATAAATAGATAAACCAGCACGCGGCAGTTTTCATCAACCCTTCCTTGAAGTGTCAAATTTGACAATGAACCCCTCCCACGTGTATGGCGCTATTGCGTGTCGCGTGTTCAGCTCAGTGGTTCTGTTGGCGATAAGTTCTTCATCTGTGAACATACTCTCAAAGCATGCTAAGTGTCCACATGCCAATTTATCATATCACAACCTGCATAGATATTTGCATTTCAATATCCCCTACTTTTTTAAGAGTATATAACAGAGAAGTAGTTATATCCATACATATGTTGTGCTTTGTTATGGATAGATTAGAACGGTTCGGCCATAATGAATGGATAGTCCAGACTTTGTTTATTTGTTTATTATGTTAACAACGATAGCAATGGCAACCAAGGCTACACCAGTGAAGTAATTTGACTGAAATATTCATCATATTCCCGTTTCATTATCTATTTTTTTAACTATTATAGCGAGAACTGTCAGCTTTTTATTTAATCTTACATAATGCCCAGAGTCGTAGATATCGATTTTGCAGAATTCTGATGATCAGAAAAGACTTATACGCATGGGATTTCATGTTATTTATTAATAATTTTGCAAGAACGTACAAACTGTGAATATGTGACAACACAAAATTTACATGGACCTATCTTCTATATACTGTTGTGGTGAATAAATAAATTAGCAAAGATATGTACTCATATTTTCATGAAGCGTCCGCACTTGGTCAAGTTTGACCACCGATCGGCATTTTGTCAAGATCGACCGTTCTATGAATCATTCTGGGCCGGTTTTTGGCATATTTTGACCAATTAACCAAATTGGGCCTCGCACTAGAAAGGGGCACCGCAGCTCACCAACTTAAAAATTGTCCAGGCAATCTGGCAATCTGGCAACAGGGCTGCCAGGTGTGGCTATTTCAGGTATTAATCATAATCAATTACATACTAATTGTGAAGTAAAGCATATTTGGCCTTAAATATGAATGAATATAGGCATATAGTTAAAGTTATTCATATCTTGCAATGTATTCATATCCTGTAACTTCGGGACTCCCACATTGGGCTCCGCATTGTCTGCAACCGGCCCTGGAATCATTCCGAAAATTATGCTGTTCGCGAGGTTTATGCTGAATATTTCTGGCAATGTGATTGAAAGTGGGCATAACGTGAACATACTCGGCTCAAATTTAAATAATAAAATTCGCAGTATTTTAGTTTCGTTTGGTTTTGAGCCTAAGGAATATAAAAACTATAGTATAGGAAACTTCAAAAGGTATTTTAATTGAGATTTATCACATTGTGGAGACCGGAGTTCGACGTCTGGGGTTCATAAGTTCATCATATCATCCGCAAATGAACTAGCCTAATTGACCTTATAATATGGCCCAATTTAATCGTAATGTCTTAAAACCTAATAGAAACTACGTGAACCTTTGACGCGTATTCTGATATCCAATCAAAGCAATCATTACGTATACAGATTAAAATAGCTAATATAAGTCTTTAACTCAATATCATTCACAGTCTTCGAGAGCCATTGTTAATAACGCGACTCGATGAACGAGGCTAAATGTATCCCAGGGGAGAGAATACCAATGACGTCTATAATAATAAATTATAGACGTCATTGGAAAATACTAACGAACACAACTGATCAGAAATTACAGTAAAAACAGAAACGATTGATTGTAAATCAATTTATATACATTCATATTAGATTTTTATATGCGTTGCGACCCATTTGTGTCCATTTCTAGATGCCAACTATTAAATAATTAGTTCCTTTAAGTATTTGGGATTTTTCCCTTCCATTTTGTCATTGTTAGTTTACCTCATTAATTCATTTAGTCGCAGATGCATTTTGAGACCTACTGCAGTGACTGCATTTATTTTGAGACAGACTATTTTTTACCACATTTACGTGTCTCATAATGCCCCTGTAAAGTTATTCTTTCTTATTTTGGCATTTTATGTTTTATACTTTATGTCAGTCACAAACTATATGTGCTATTTAATAAATACAAAGTTAGGGCACAAGTCCTAATTGTTTCTACAAAACAGAACAAGCGGTTGTTATACACGATACTCCCTAGCTACGAGAACGTAGCTAAAAACGTTGAGTAAAGCTCGGTTCATACTACATCCGTATCCATAAACGCATCCGTATCCGCGTTTTGCCGCTCAAATAGAAAACGCGAAAACGTCCGGCTTTCAAGGCTGAATTGTCTGTCAAAGAATTATTTTCTATTTGGGGAGATGATGTAATAAGGGGAAAGTACTCGCTGATTGGCTAAAGCTCGGCTCACTAGCCGAAATGCCGGACACACTTTACAAAAAAACGCTCTGGGAGCAATCAATCCGGCTTAACGGACGCAGTTGTTTTTGTGCGCAATACGTGTCGGATTCTATTTCAACCCTTTCTCTAAAAATGACTAAAGTATACCAGTACGTATTCACGCACGTATTTACAGATACGGATGTGGTATGAACGGACCTTTATACTGACATGAGGTTTGTTATCAAAAGAGATGGGCAGAGATTCACAAGCTAAAAAAAAAAAGAGAAAAAGAAGAAGCGATTTTTCGTACCATCAGGGGTCATAATAGTATAATACAAGTATAACTCAAAAATAATACCTTGTAAATCCAAAATGCTGAATTTGGTAACATAAAATAACAATTTAGTTGAAGACCCTTCTGTTAGCTATTTTGTGCCAAAATCAGGTTTCACGCTCACTCGCGTGAAGGGAGATAACTCGTGTATGAAATGGACTAAGACTAGTAATTATTTCCCCTTATTTCATGAATGTAGTGCGAGTTATAAATAGACAATTTTTCCCTTAATTTTTTTCTCCCCTCTTCCTGCATTTTTGGGTTGACTTTTTGGTCTAGAATTGGAGAAAAGGGATCAAATTTGCAATTTCATAGCAGTTTTGGGTAATACTGATGATATTACAGCGGAGGGATAGGGGGTGTAAAGTGTCTTTCTGCAGAGCAATCATTGTGTCGGAAGTGTGATTTTCACCCCTGTCAACTTCAAATCCGTGTAGCAAAAAATCTAAACGGTCAACCCGCTACAAAATTATGATGAGGAGATTGCCAAATGTTGTCCCCATTGTGCCTATAAAGATTGGAACCAACGGAATGTTGAGCAAAAAGCTACAGCCTGTGATGTTACAGTCATTTAACATTGAAGTCAATGCCAATGGGCAAATAATGATATAAAGAAGCATGGCCGACTCGGGATGTTCATATTTTTTCAACGGCTTATTTCCTGAAGTTTTGAATGGAAAGTGTCAGAAATGGTAAGAATACTGCTTTTTTATTGCCCAGCAGTAAGTTTTTTGACTATTTGGTATCAAAATAGCCATGATAGGGGGTATCCGTTGGTTGAGTGTGAATTTTGGGTTGTAAATGTGTAACATTTTGTTCACAATGATATCAAAACATGGTTAGGTCTAAATATTAAGGCCAATTCAACTCCAGATTTGGTCTAAAGTCACGAGATGTAAACAAGACTGACCCTAACCCTAACCCAAGACCCAGTCCTTACCCTAACCCTAACCCACAATCTTGTCAAAAAGCATGTAGCCTAGGCCTAAGCCAAGACCTAGTTCTGACCCTAGCCCAAACCCACAATTGTGTCAAAAAATCATGTGCCCTAACCCTATTTACATGTTGTAACCTTGAACCAAGTCTGCAGTTGGCCTTAACATTTAGACCTAACATGTTTTTGACATCATACAATGAAATGTTAACATGTACACTCCAAAATTCACACCTGTGTGACTTTTGACCAAACATGCAGTTGGCCTTAATATTTAGACCGAACCTCAAAACATGGCATCTACCTTTGAGATTGGCTTAGACTTATGTGACACTCAAGGTTTACTTTTTTACTGATTGTTAACTTGTTTCTTTTTGGAGGGCCAGTGACGGGCTGTTCGCGAGAAATAAAGAGGTTTATTTCTATTTCCAATTGAAACCATATTTTGTTCTTATTTTCTCACTGTTTTTTATTGCATATTTATCCCCAGCCTCCTATCATTTCAGGTGCCAGGGCAATGTTTCATAGAGTGGAATGATTGACCTCAACACAAGTATTAAAAAAAAAAGAAGCAAAACAGGTGAGATAAATGTGCATTTCATACACTTTAAGAAGTACATCCAACCTCATCCCCACTTCTGCTCACTAATAGTAATGGGCTGGAAATTTGGTACTGCACAGGCCTGTCTTCTCCCCTTGACATTTAACTGAATGACAGAATTCCACATTTTGACCATTTTCTGGATGTCAATGACCATTTCCCTGGATAGTATTCGCCCCAGAATTCTCATTCTCATCCAAATTTAACATTTCAGGTCTACATCTCAAAACCTGATCTCTTCCTGGACTGGCTTTAGGAGAACGATGATGCATATCAATTTCATCCCTGATCTCTATGACACCTGTGGTGGAAGTGGAGGGCAAATCGTAATCAGTTTGGGTTCCAGCCCCGAGGACCTCTGTAAACTTTGCTTTTTGGTGATGACTTAATTTCCGAGCTTGAAAAGGAAGCTTGTGTGTTTATCATGGCCTCTCATATTGGAAGATAACATTAATGGTTTGTGTGTTGATCGACGGTTGTGCATATCTCTTGGTCAGGAAAGTTGTAGGCACCATCGCCATTGTAAATCATTTGACAGGCCCGAGTGAACGGGGCGACCTATGATTGGTCAGCAATGTATCAGATTCCATACCGGGGGGTGGGGATGAAAAAACTGTTGTAGTGTTACATAATCAGATTATTTCAACTTACTTATCCTGTGGAAATACAGCTATATAGGAGATATTTTGAAATTCATAGGCACTGCATGTTTCAACATTTTAGATTTGACCACAATTTGGCACTTGAAACTATGTTAACAGAGAAAAACTGTGTGGTTTTCGATGAAAGTGTTAAAAGTCTAATATTGCATCATGATTACTGTTTTAAAGTATTTTCGTGTTTGATTTATATTGAATTCATCTCATCTTTTTGAAGAATGCATTTATGTTCAAAAATAAAAATGTTCTGTGGAATTCAAAATTCATGTGCTTTTAAATTATCAGATTCCAAACTGGGGGGTAGGGATGAAAAAGCTGTTGTAGTGTTACATAATCAGATTATTTCAACTTACTTATCCTATGGAAATACAGCTATATAGGAAATATTTTAAAATTGATAGGCACTGCATGTTTCAACATTTTAGATTTGACCACAATTTGGCACTTGAAACTACGTTAACAGAGAAAAACTGTGTGGTTTTCGATGAAAGTGTTAAAAAGTATAATATTGCATCATGATTACTGTTTTATAAAGTATTTTCGTGTTTGATTTATATTGAATTTATCTCATCTTTTTACAGAATGCATTTATGTTCAAAAATAAAAATGTTCTGTTTAATTCAAAATTCATGTGCTTTTAAATTTCTGTCTGAAATTCCGCAGTTTTCTGATGTATTATAGTGTTTGCAGAATGCCGCACAGCTCATCTGAAAATGCATAGATTTTCATATTCTTTGGCCAGGGAATTGCATATATGTTTGTTTATTAGATAACAACAGATTTGTTTAAACTGCAGAAACATGTGAGGTATATAGGACTAAGACTAGTAATTATTTCCCCTTATTTCATGATGGACGAATGTAGTGCGAGTTATAAATAGACAATTTTTCCCTTAATTTTTTTCTCCCCTCTTCCTGCATTTTTGGGTTGACTTTTTGGTCTAGAATTGGAGAAAAGGGATCAAATTTGCAATTTCATAGCAGTTTTGGGTAATACTGATGATATTACAGCGGAGGGATAGGGGGTGTAAAGTGTCTTTCTGCAGAGCAATCATTGTGTCGGAAGTGAGATTTTCACCCCTGTCAACTTCAAATCCGTGTAGCAAAAAATCTAAACGGTCAACCCCCTACAAAATTATGATGAGGAGATTGCCAAATGTTGTCCCCATTGTGCCTATAAAGATTGGAACCAACGGAATGTTGAGCAAAAAGCTACAGCCTGTGATGTTACAGTCATTTAACATTGAAGTCAATGGGCAAATAATTGCTAGTCTGAGTCCAAATGATCGAATGGGTTTAACGCCCTGTACTGCTCCTATATATAATGAAGTCGGGCATACGCCATGCAGTGTGCTATGAGTGAAATTTTGCCTGGGCCTACTTTCATATCGAATTCCAACTACCAAGGGATCTTTCACGTACACGTCAATGTATACACGGGACCTCATTTATTCGTCACATCTGAACGACTAGTCAGCTGTCCTTGGCAGACCTTCCGCCCTGCACCACTGACGACGGGAAACCATGTCGGAAAATCCCGATGAACTTTCTTGGCCAATGCATGGATCCAACACACGACCTCCACCGTGGCTCCCTCGTGTATGTGATTTGTGTTGATAGGAACATAATGTATATGCCTGCGTTGTAGTTTTGGAGCAGATATCGCATAAACATGTCGATCGATCGGCATGTGGGTTTTTCATATTACCCTGATCGGTGCAGTTTCATCAAGGCAATCCGAGAAATTAGGCCTATAACCTCCCCCACCCACCTGGTATTTCCATTTTATATCGTTAGTCCCGAAATGACCTAGTTTGTGTCGTCGACTGGACGTTAACATCCCCCCCCCCCCTCTCTCTCTCACAAACTATATTTCTGCGATATATCCTCACCCGTACGGTTATTTTATACGAGAGAATTTGTTCAGTTGTGATAACAACTACCAATGGTGTAGCGGTGATATTATTTGAACGTTTTTTGTTGGTTTTTTTTTTTTAAATCAGATATAAATTTTGACCGAGATGCGCGAATATTGAAAGGAACCGAGATCTTTGAGTTGAAATACATGCTTATATCGGATTGTCACTTCCTGAATTATGGCCCCTGACTGTACGAAAAATCTAGATCACTGCAATTATTATCCAATTTAAAAAAAAAACAAAAAAAACACGTTCGAATATATCACCGTTACACCATAGTGACCACGGTTGAGTTCGAATCAGGGGCGGATCCAGAGGGGGGGTTTGGGGGGTCGAAACCCCCCCTGCTCGGCTACATAAATTTTTTTGTAAATCAACACTTTTTATGAGAAAGGTTTCTCGGCCGTGTGCTTTATCCTTTATCGTCAGATTTGGGACAGGATGGGCACTCAAAGCACGAGATAATGATATAGACATTATGTGATATCACAATTAATGCTTTGCATCCATGAAATTGAATCACACAGTCATTGTATATTAATTCATAATAAAAATTGACGTCAAACGAGGTGTTGAATTTCTCTGTTTAAAAAGCTCAATGTGTATGTATATACGCCAAAATGACGATAGAGACCAAGCGGGAGGGGGGGGGAGATACATTGTCTCAGGAACATGACCCCCCCCCCCCCTGCAAAAATTCCTGGATCCGCCCCTGCGAATTTCGAGAAAATCGGACCAAGAGTGCCGGATAAAATGGCCACCCCTCGTACGCAAAAAGTGTAAAAATATGGTATATCAAGGGTTTGAGCCCGCTTGAGGTCACAATTTTCACCCGATTTTGATGAAACTTGCAATACATGTTTATAACCCAAAGATCCCAGTTCCTTTCGATATTCACGCGTATCGGATCATAACTTCGAATTAAAGCTCTTGATTGTACGAAAAATCGCGATTTTAGCTTGTGGTTCCTCTAGAGGTAACAATTTTTATACAATTTAAAAAAAAGTTCAAATATATCACCGTTACACCTTAATGATGGTCGAGTTTAAATTTTGTGAAAATCGGACAAAACTGCCGGACAAAATGGCCGTCCCTCGTATGCAAATGTGTAAATATATGGTATATCAAGGTCGTGGACCGTCTAGAGGCCACAAACACAATCTCCCTTTGTTTCTATGAACATATTCAGAAAGTTTTACAAAATTTTCACCATTTGCATTTTATTTGATGAACGTTGTTAGCAGAAACAACGCAGAATACATATAGATAAATATATTTATATAGATTTGATAGATCATATTTAATAATTATGATGATTCATTTCAACATAATACATAACTAATCAATTAATAATAATATACATTTTAATTATTTGGGCAAACTGGAAAGAACTACATTGTGTATCTTATGACTAAATAAACTTTAAGTGGCATTTAGTTAACTGAACAGAGTAATAATATCAGTCTATTGGGTCAATTGAGACAAATGAATTAGATAATATATAAAATATTATTAAACCAGTGTTGTAATCAGTTTTTGTCGGCATACCTTTTATCTTTTTATAGTTTATCATGAAACAAAGTAGTGCAACTTTACAGTTGTGCTAATATATTTTGGATACATATATATATATATATTTATTTATTACATAGATTGAAGATTTGTAAGATAAATATATATGATATTTTATCTTGTTAACAGTACATGCAGATAAATCCAAAATTGTATACCATGTAAATTATAATTTGCAAATTTATATTGTATAATAACAATATTAAGACTACTGACAATAATAGGGTCTGTGCAAGCTACGTGTAGGAATGACTTCTTCAATAATATCAACAACTTTCGACATAGACAACTATCCATTTCGACTCCTGCAGACCTCATTTTGAAATTGTCTATGGGCCTGCTGTGAACAGTGAAATCATTTTACTCTTAAAAAACAGTAAACATCAGGCCCAGCGGAGTGGGGGGGATAGGGGAGGCTTTAGCCCCCCCAATAATTTGGCCGCAAGTACTCTTTTCTCCAGGTTATTGCGGCCCCTGGACCCTTGCCTATAAGGACCTAGGTTGGAAGCCCCCCCAATCAAGAATTGCTTCCGCCGGCCCTGAACATGTGTATCATCAGGAGTTATATTTCATAAACATAATTATAACAGATTTAGTCCGAGATGTAAAAGGAAATCAAGACTGATTATAATTTAAATGTTTCATTCTCGTTACACTGCTCTTTCTTCCCTCTTTCTGTCTTCAATAGTAAATGTTTAACCAACTGTAGAAAAAGATTTCATCATAAAATGACATTGACATTGTTCAGATATTTGAACTATGTATAACATAATACCCATATTTATCACATATCCACATTAGTTTAAAGATGCCTTACTAAGAATATCATCCATAACTGTGATATTTTCTAAAATGTCTTAAAATCAATTTACTTTTAATCATAGGGATTGTTTCATTTTAATTGCCAAAAATTGTCAAAGAAAAAGAAGCCACTATACTTCAATGAACCTATTGATCTGCATTGATATTGGTTGTGTAATGTATTAAATCCTGATGCTTTCTTTATTTACATTCTATATATCTATCTATACATTATATAATAATATGTCCTATTTACAGAAATAAAACTTATTGATAATATTTAAAATATTTTATAATATGCTGATTTTTAAATATATACCAGTTACATATATTAAATCTTTCAATAATCGTAATCATACATTAAATATTGTTTTCAGATAATATTTAGCATCCAATATCTTTAAAGTCCTTTAGCATACCCGGTAATAATATTGAATTAAATGTGATGAATATACATTATATTTTAATAGTTTTTATATATAAATATCTATTATATCACAGATGCACACATTATTATGCAAATATTTCACCTATACTTTATACAATAATAACATACATATCATTTTTGATTAAATGCTGATTTTGAATATTGACTCGCATCTTTATTTCATTAATAAAATCTTTAAGTAATTCTATATTTTTCCACATCTACATAAACATACTTAATAATATCACAAATGTCAATAACATAGAGATATCCATATCATTCAAAAGTTAAAATGAATAGTTAACAGAAAATCCTGACCTTAAAATTTATTGTACTTACTTCTTTTTTAAAATTTATAACATTCATCACACCTGTATTATAACAGTAATGATGGAAGAATGTAGTGTATATTATCTACCTATCATCAACAGTTTTTGTTATATAGTAGAAAGCACATTATGCAACAGATAAACCTGAGCTTAAAGTAATAGACATTAAAGATAGCAAGTTAAATGATTATGACTTATTTATCACCTTTTAGTACAATCCATCAACATACACAGAGTAACAATTTTAATGTCTAGAACAGAACAACGTGTTTCAGGTGGGGTGGGGGTATAAATCACAAATATTACATATACCATAATGAAACATCCATAACAATCAATGGCTCCATTTGAAAATATATAAATAGCTAAGTAGAATAGTCTGTGTTTAGTTAAAATGGATAACTGAAACTTAAAATGGTGGGTCACTTTAACCCAATTTTAGAACAAAATGTCATATCGTGTAAATATAGACCAATAATTAAAATGTAAAATATATAAAATACGATAATTTGAGATAATCTGTTGAGAATGTAATTGGATATTAATTTTGATAATTGAACACATCAGAATAAAGATGATTACAAGTAATATCACATTAATACATTGTTGTGTACAGTACTACAAGAAAAAAACAACTCTTTACATTAAACACCACTACTTTTTAATGACCTTAACCCTTTTAATAAAACACTCATAAGACTAGCCAGATTAGCTGCTTGCCGCATTAAATATTTCATATGTGGATCACCTAGAGGTTTTCCTACAGCAGCGCTTGCTGCACTAATAGTGCTCTTAAAAGCATGCGAGACTTTAATAAATTCCAAACCTAAATGTTGAGCACTATGAACCGATTCCATCATTAGCATGACTGACTGACTATGTAGAAATACTTTAGCGAGTGTATGCATGGCTTCGTTTAAATAATGCGCTAATTTTTCGGGTGAATTATTTGCACTGCTTACAAAGAATTTGGCATCATTAACAAATTGTTTCATTTGAGTAAGAAGTTCCTCTTTACAGAATTCAAACTGTGTATAGTGTTTGTCAATTCGTGAATTTTGTAAAGATTCGAGAGTGTGTTTTATCTCCATCAAAAAACGGTCAATGTCATTATTTGCACTGTTAAAATCTTGTGTAGTATAAACTTTAGCTAGAACATCTTTCACCGTATCTGTAGCGGTATCGCTAATGACATCATAACTATTCTCCGATACAGATCGATTACGGCTAAGTATGATAGCACTGTCCGGTATATCTATAGTTAAGGGTTCCGATGGGGTTTTACTTTTAACAGCCTTATCAATAATTTTACCTGTATTAAGCATTACTGATTCAGGTTTTTCTAGACTTGCTGCCACTTCACGCAAGTTTTCAAAATTGGTGAAATTTTGGTAGACGTCATCTTGGGACGTAATACTGGTCGTCATGGTGATAGGCCTCCACATTTTGATAGTTGCATACGGATTGGCCTTCCATTTTATTTTACCAGCTGATTGTAACATAAGAGAATCATCTTTACTACCGGTCTTCTTAGATTTCTTAGAATGCTCCTCTTTTTTGGGGGGTGGGAAAACTTTACCATCAGATTTCTTTTCTTTAGTAGCATACACGGATGTCATAGCTTTCACAGGACCATTTCCTTTTGATTTATTCTGAAAATAAACAGACAAATATTAATAACATGATTATACCTGACAACATTAAACCAACTAGTCAAATATTGTATGACATTGTATCTTCATGAAATGATAAATGTACACAAATGATATGATTGAAATGATTTAAAACTAATTAATGAAAATATTTGCACTTCTGCTTCTAAAGTAGAAATGAATGAAAATTTAACAACTAAAAATCTATTCATTCAATATATTCTGTCTCTTTATATTAAATAATTTGGAAACTTTGTTTAAAACTATAATATTAGCCGTCACCCTAGCACTGTTAATATGTTGAAATTAGTAAAAACAATATTGTTTATTATAAAAAAGATTTGAAAGCTGTGCTGAGTAACTTACATCTTCACACTATATAAGTGGAGCAAGTACTAAAACTTTGGAACCATTGACTACACAGCTATATTTTTGGCAATACTTTTCATGCTTGTCAATATTGTGAAAATGGGTGACTTACAACCAGGGCCATTCATTTAAAAGAACACCAATGAAAAATAACACAATTAAGACATGCATCAGTTAAAAGCTGCCATTTTAATTGAATCTAAAATTACTAGATTTAAAGAGTGCATGGCTCTATTCTTCAGTACCTTTAATCACATATTAATGTAATATAAATATATATAAAGTGATTTATATTCAATTTTTAAAATATATATTGTAATTTCTAATCAATTACATATGTAAACAATCCAATTTGAACAAAAGTCGTTTATGTCTGCTTAGTCTATTCTACATGTTTTTTAGTTATTTGTTGTTTGTGAATCAGCCATTAATAATTACTTCCACACTGTCTGATAGGATATGTTTTTCTTTGTTGATTACAAATGCCACCCGAAACCACGATCGTGTACTGAATTTAATATGTTTATTGGGTCTTAAATATTGGATTTTAGGATCCCACATTTTCACGGCAAGATAACATCAGTATTGATTGAATATTGAATTCTAATTCGTATTTTTGATTTCTAATATGGAAAATATTGAGTTTGAGTTTTTGCTCCTTTAATTGAACAAAGTGAATGATTTGTGTAACTATAAGCCTAACACATGATCATACAGTTCAATTATGCATACTATACATTACAAGTATTTTAGTTACTTCTGCTTGAAATACTGCAAACAATAAATTTTTCTTTAAAACTGACAACAATTTTAAAAGCTATGTCCTCATCATTTCATAGAAATCAGAGCATAACGAATGTTCTATTTAAAAATAAAAAGATAAATAAAAATATGTAAATCAGAGATCATCTCTCCTTCAACCAAACTGAAAATATTTACCCAGAATTATAGGGGTACTTGAATAACATGAGGTTTAATTAATTGTTGGTTTTTAAGATGATTTTTAAATAGTGTACCGGTACGGTTTAACACCAGTACTACAAAATTCCTCAAATATAATATTCTATCAATCTAAAGTAGATTCCTCAATTATAACATTCTATCATTCTAAAGTTGATAGGGGATTATTATCAATAAACTAAAACTCATAGGGGATTACTATCACATGAATTATATATTCTGTGTAGAAGTTGACTTGGTATCAAACACAATATCATGGAAGGATTAAACCGTAAATTTACCCAGTAGACAATTACAAGAAAAGTATGACAGTTGTATACCTTATCTTAAGATAGGAGTATTTACAATATCTAGTGAAGAGGTAAATAAGATGGTAATATAGGTCAAACATATACAATATAAACCTATATAATAAATACACTGTAAGCCTAGGTCAAGCAGGGATAAAATAGAACGTTTTTACACCATATGATAAAATATTCATATAGAAAACTTTCATCAAATGAAACTGTCAACCAAAAACATAAAATAATACACAGATGTACATATGATAAATAATACACAGATGTACATATGATAAATAATCCTATTAGCATATAAAAACTTCTTGACCAAATAGATATGCACATTTATACTGTTTTTACAGGGACTCTATTTTACAATTGATATCTTTTAGGGTAGAATCACCTGATGACAGAAATATTAGAACTCACCTTTGAACGAAACATAATGCTTGTTTGACCACAATATAAGAAATATATGTTGTATGTACAAAACTTCCTTTAAGCATATAAAACACTATCCTATATCTATATCATATTGTTCAAATCAAGGGCTTTCAAATCAACCCTCCTTCTAAACCTGACCAAATACAATAATCTTTGAAGTAGTTTATAAGAAATCTGTAGACTGCTTGGTGAAGTAAGATTGTGACACATGTAAATCAGGTGTGATTTATCTTCTGTTGATTACATCATATAACAATAGCTAGAACTTGTCAATTACATATAAACACTAGAAAACGAACTATTAAAATACTGCATATCTGTCACATCATTTATATCCTATATATCACTTTAACACAATGCTTCAAACAGTACTCTAACAACACTGTTTTTACCATTTGAAAGATTTATGTCAAAATCTAACTTTAATTTTTAATTTCTGATATCCTCTTCTCATACAATTGAATACATAAAATTGTTTTGTTTTTATAGTTTTCATTTAAATCTGATTTTGAGCAAATCAGTACAAAGCACATATATTTCTTTTTGTATCAAAGATGTCAATCATAAAATAATAAACACTCCTTATCCTGTTTTAGGTTCACTGAGTTTTGACAAAGTCATGTAAATTTTTGAACTTAAAATAACTTTTCAAATTCTACCTCTGAGTACACAACCTTAACAGATAGTAATAGTTTAACAAAAGGCACACCTGGAGGGTATTATCTTTAAACTCCCATTTGATACAGTTCACTGACAACACCACAAATTCACTTCATAAAAATAACAAACTGATATAAAATAACCATTTCATCTATTTAAAACTAATACATGTAATTCTATATATTTTGTAGGGCATAAACTAATGTTAAAATGTTGTAATCTTTAAGGCTCATAAGACATATGATGTTCCAGCTGAGCTCTTTATGTTGACATAATTACAATTTAACAGTATCATTTGATTTATTACTTGAAAATAGAAGTCATTCACTCAGTTGGTGCATTGTAAAATGGACAATTTCTTTCAAAAATACCATCAAGTGGGGGCTATTTGTTAGAAACTGCTTGTCAATCAGTCAATAAACACCAATGGTGAGAAACAAGTGTTTTATACCATGTCTGTTTATCTTTAATTTTCTCCAATATCAACTCCATTGTATCAATAAATTTTTCTTGTTCGTTCTCTAGGATAAGTTTACTTTCTTATTATAGGACCATTTCCACGACAAAAATAGGACGTAATGATGAAATAATTCCATCGCTTTGGTGGAAAGACATTTTTTAACTTTTTACAGAGAAAGGTGGGAACAAAGTTTGCTACCTCGACACAGACCCTCCTTCTTTGGTTGAAAGTGTTTTACCAGTTGTTATAGTATATATTTGTTAAAATAAACAATCAGTATCATGAATTAGTAAGCATTGTAAATGGTTGAGAGAATGTAGGCTAGATGTCTAGGCCCCTCCCCCCATCCAACGTCTCTATAACTGAATATTGTTAAGGATAGTATTTTGGTTACAAAAGTTTGTTAGAAGTGCGTCTGATTAAAAAGATGTGAATAACTTTTGTTATAAATATGGTTAAAAGATTAATGAGTTTAGAAATGTATGAAACATGGGGTTATGAATAAAGCATTTCTATCAATAATAATTGTCATTTCTCATCTGTTTACCGTAGAATGCTGATTAATAAAAAGAAAGAAAATAAACTTTAAAATAAAATAGCAAAATAACCCACGATCCTGGTGAAGCCAATACAGCAACCAAGCACACATAACACAGCTCATCAAAAGAGTTCCTGACAATAAATACCATTCATTTATAGCAAATATTACCCTTCATATACAATTTAAAGATAATTTTTGGTGGGTAATTTTTTTTTTTAGGGTAGATGAAGGAATCAATGACATTTTGAATTTTCCAGTTATTTTTCCTCCCAAGGTCCTGTTTCACAAAATACATGTTAGATTTCACAACTCTATTGAACTTACTATTAACTTTATAATATGTTTTGTGAATCAGGGTCCTAGATGATATTATTTAATACATATATCCCAATTAATTCTGTAAGTAGTCATCGTTGGAATATAAAGAACTTTACTGGTAATTAAATTCTTCACACACTAACGGTAATTATTCTTATTTATAGTTAGAATAAAGAGAAGAGGAATCTGACTCCCCCTCTAAATCTGTCTCATAAAATAATATACTGGTACTAAAAATTTTGAATAATTTTAAATTTTTCAAGTGACTGGCAGAAACTCTAATGTTCATGCTACAACTATATAACATTTATTACAAGTTAAAATAAACATGCAGGTTGCCGACTATTGTAGCAGGAAGTCAGTACTAATTACCTGGCAACCTACATTTAACAGTCCGATATTTCACTTGTTGGCTGCCACAGAAAAAAAATATACATTGTGTAGTTAATATTATTATGAATAATGATACAGAATTCAAATAGACAGTTTTTATAGTGAATGAAAAGTGAACAGATGTAAACATGGTTATCTTCCCTTTAATTTCCACAACAAACAATCAATTATGTTATCATACTGGGACAGTATAAATATATAATATAAAGAAATCACTTATAATATTAATATCACTATCAATTTGTTATTATGTATACTTGTATTTCTATTTCCTTTAAAGATCTGAGTAGATGATTTTAAGATACAAATTTATGAATTAAAATATTATTCCATCCCTTAAGTAGAAAATTATATCTATATTTACTGAATTGACTAGTCTAAAACCATACACAATAATTATTGTTAAATAGTTCATAAATCTGTGCTTTATGTGAACACATGTTAAATAAATAATTACAAATAACCAATTATATAATATGTTCAGAAATTTTGTTATTTTTGGATACCTCATGAGCAGAAATCAAAAGAGAAACAGAAGAATAGGTATTTCCATTCTGTAAGAAAAATATTGACTATATTATTTCTAATGTTATAAATAGAATAGATGCAAACAACAGTTGGATTGTAAATAATTTATAATAATAATAATAAATACTAACCTCGGTACTAGAAGGATTGGCTACAAGACGTAACGTTTTGGGTAAAGCTAATGTTCCCAATACTGATGGTTGTTTCTTGTCTGTGTCTGCTATAGCTGTACCACCATCTTGTTCAAGGGGTAGAGATGTATGAGATAGTAAAACTGGACTCGATGATGAATTACTTGATTTACTGTTCTTACGTTTACTCAACTGATCTATTAACTGAGTAAAAGAATTGGATCTTCGTAATGAACTTTTCCTAGAAACACTTTCACTGGTACCGCTATCATCACTTTGTGTCGAGTCAACATTACTACTACTGTCATCACTATTTTTAGCGGAGGTGACAGATTTGGGTGATTTTTTTGATCGGCTTAATAACATGTCTCTGCATGATTGTAACTGTGCTTTTATAGAAGCTATAGTTGATGATGAATCGTTTGATTGGCTTTTAACACTGTCAAATGAATGAGCTTTAGGTATAAGTCGTAGATGATCATGTTTCGGTGTTTTAGGTTTTATATCTAAACTGTTACTCCTCTGTTGCATTCCTTGTAATATATTAACAGATCGTAGAGAAGTGGTGCGAATAAACGGAGGTGGCGGTGTTCCACTCTTTGCCACAGTGTCCAATGATGAACTACGACTTAGTTTAAGTGAACCGGTTCGGACAAATGTATCATGGAAGGACCCAACACGCGGAAGAGAATGTAAAAGTTTGTTTAATTTATCGGAAACTGTAGCTGGGGATTCTGCTACACTTCCAGTCACAGGATAAAATTCACCACCAAAATTTACGGGTGGATCAGTCGATCGTTGAACTTCGTCTGTTGATTGTTTAGAATCTAAAGAGTGAGTTTTGGCATATAGAATTTCCTTAGCTTTCTGTAAGGAACCAATGTCTATTGACGAAGAACGTTTATGTCGAAACATTTTGCGTTTCTGTTTAGCCTCATCAACAGGAGGCACAATAGGAATGTTTTCTTCTGATAGAGTGTTGACACTAGGAGGTGGGGGAATGATTAATTTTGTAAAATCACAAAAATGTGAAGAAGTATCTGTCCATTGATGACTTGTAGTATTTGAAGATGTTGTATTATCTGTATCAGATTCAGATGGTGGGGGCGGTACAGTAAATCGTGCTATAAGTTCATCAATATCATTGTCTAAAAAGTCTGGACAATTGCCAACACTGGCCGATTTTGCTAATTTCTTTGGCAGAGATAAACTACTTGCTGTACCTGAAACATGAATCAACAAACAAGAGTCAGCAATCAAAGCAACTCAAATGAGGATGAAATAATTTCATTATAAATTTATATCAACATCAATATACACATTGACTTGTATTAATAAATCTTATATTAAACCTACCCATCAATTTACTAGTAGATGATGTTGATGATAACATAGTAAAGTCTATCATACTTTCATCATCAGATGACAATGGTGGAGGGATTAATGTTAGATCTGAAAGAAAACCATATCAACTTACCAATCAACATATATTTTAATTATAGTATAATTAACAAAGAGACATAATAACTAAACTCAATTATATTTGTTTTTTTTCCTTTTAAAGATAAATCAATACTGTTAACATTAAAGAGCTTCAATGATCAGGAGATTTATAAAAGGGGATATCTAAAAAGTATATTGCCATTACATACAGTGTATATGAGGAAGAACAGTTAGACTATTATGTTGTAATATTCTAAACCTACACAACGGAAATCTCTTACAGGGAATAAAGATCTTTATAAATATAGCATTCACCTCCTTTTAATCCCTGTAAGAGATTTCCGTTGTGTAAGTTTAGTTCCAAATGGCCCCTAATCAAAGGTGTTAAGCTTTAATTGTATTTGATTGTTATTTTTGTTGCATATTCTGTATATATATTTGCCCACAATTCACACATTTGTATAATTTTCTTGATAAAGACGAGAGTATCCTCGTCGAAACGTCGCTTAGTATTAAACTCAGTAATTGGGTATCCATAAAATTGTACCTTGTGTTAATATGTTCAATTACTAAACGCCAATCAAAGAAGATTCTTGTAGTTATTGTCACAACAAGTGAGCTCAAAGGTGTTGTTGAACTTACTAATAATCTGTCAGAATAGTGAGGTAAAACTCAACCTATTTAGTCTGTGTAAATTATATTGCTGGTACATTAACCAGGTATATTATTATGTCCCTTTAACTTAAACATCTCTAAAGTAATCATAAACTCTTATTTATATTTATAACAGAGATATACCACACAAAGTAATAAGAGTCAGATTAATATCAGTCATCATATTACCTATTATATCTGGATCTAAATAAACACCCTGTGGTTCATAAATATTATTGACATCTGGAGTGATCGTGTCCAATACTGGAAGTCCCATGGATGCAGCAAAATCTTCAACATTAATATCTGTACCTAGGGGTACATCAGGACTATGGAGACCAAAACTATGATAATCATCTGTAAATTATACAAACAACATATCTTTAAAATATCAAATTGTAAACAATAATCTAAATTTAACATATTTTGTCTGGACCCCAAGAGTAATAAATGAATTTGGGACACAGGGTTTGCTGAAATGTTCTGATCTCCTATATTTGAGCTGCAGAATTTACATGCTCCATCAATTACACCTTGCAGTATCCTACAGTATCCTACAGTAGCTAGAGAAGACAGCTTAATAAAAGATCTAATCTAATGCATATCTTTTAAACCAAATTCAGTTGGGTAGATAGCTAGGCCTATACAGTAATAAACTGTTTTATTGATGAGCATATTTTCATGTAGTGCAATGATTAGTTGGCTGAAGATGACATTATAAAGAAATCTGCTATGCTCAGCTTATCATTAAAATTATTTAAAATACAGATGTGACGTCATCCTTTGATGTTGGCGTATCATTATTTCAAATAATGGTACGGGCAATGTGCCAACTGTACGTTATTTATACTAGTTAAAATATTGAACCCACTTGATGTATTTCATTGAAATGCACGTGCTGGATAGTGTTTGTATTTTAAGTTTTTTAATGGTCCCGTACAAGAAATTGCGTAATATATAGAAATAGCCCTCATGCTAAACGCACTCACGTAATATCAATATATTACTTAATGTCTGGCACTCAACCATTAAACTACACTGAGAAAGAAATCTACCTATTGGTAAAGTATTTGGTATTTGTCCATATTTTGGTTTAGCTGGACTATCTTGTGGTGTACCCCAACTATCTGTATCATCACTCTCAACATCAATACCATTGCGTAGATCACCATTAGAAAGAATATGACCAGAATTAGGTAGAAGAGGTTTACGTTCTATATCTATACCAGAACCACTGTCTGTATCTGAAGGTGCTTCATCACAACGTAAAGCTAAGCTTGTATTTTCTATACATGTAGCATCATTTGTAAATGACAAATTGCTTTTATTATTATTTGATATGGAGCCATTTATTAATGGTTGACTAGAGTTACTTGCAATAGTCCTGAATGAGGGACTATTGTGTGAAACAAGGGAGGTATTTAGACTACTATTATCAGAACTATCATCATGACTTGTATTGGCACTAAATGATGTAACACTTTCTTCATAAAGACTGCCATTAAGTTTAGAGGAAGATACCGATGATACTTCTGCTTGATCAGAATTTGTGATAAGTGGCTCCGTTTCCTCTGATTTCTGAAATAAAGTAAGAAATAATTAAATATTAATCATTATAAAATCATATCAAAGAGAAGAAAGGAAGTGGTGTTTATCTACAAAACTAGGTTATTTTGGGACTAAATGATTTCAAATATTCAATTCAATAATTCACTAACATACAAGGTTCAAGAGAGAGAGAGAGAGAGAGAAATGGGGTTTAACGTCCACTTGACACAAACTAGGTCATTTCATGACTAACATATGGTTCAATTTTATTTCAATAATTTGCTTTAGCAGTGGGAGGAAACCAGAGGACATGGAGAAAACCCACCAGGTTGGACAGGCGAACCTACTCCTTGTAAAATACAACCGGGGAATCGAAACCAAGCCAGTTGACTAAATGAAAGACCTTATGATACAGCGTGCCCGGGCTAACCATTCAGCCATCCACCCCCCCTCAGTGATAGAATAAGATCTGCAGCACCTGGCCTATCCTGCTATAAACCATGGCAATAAATACATTAATCCTGCTTAAAATGACAATGATGGATAGTAAGACAAATTTATTTATATCAATAAGTTAGCTAACTATACCTTAAAACTAAGTCTTATTTTGGTTACAAATTCTTGATTTTCAACATATTCTGGTAAAGGTTTTGACAAATCAACTAATCGTTCATTATCTAGCTTTTCTCCCCTTTCTTTATCATCTGGTAGAATAACTTCTGATACTAAATCTTCTGGATATGACCATGGTGCTGGTATAACCCGATGTAAACTACTATATGCTAAAACTGCAAATAAAACATTGATCATTGTATTTCACATGTCTACAAGTTGTTATAACTATTTAAATTTATACATTTTCCTTATCTCTTTTATTTTTGATTATTAGTTAATTTAACTGAATTCAATATTAAATATTTCCTACAAGATATCAAATTTCATTAGTTTCTACAGCAATTACCAAAAATTTAGTTTCACATGTAGCCTTAAACAATATATATTTGAACATTTGTGTGAGCAGTACCTATAGTAATTGCTCTTAACACAATTTTACAAGTAGAGGATGGAATGGTGACTCACAATAGATTACTCATTCAACAAGAACTTAATGATTTTCTACAACAATAGACCTACCATCAGGATCAGAAGTATTTTTACCAAGAGTTCGTTCAACAATAGTTGTATCATTTTTAACGAATATACTATAATAACCAGCTACCATACATACAAAATTCTGGGCATCTTCTGTTAAAAGTCCTAAACTTATACATTGTTCTCCCTTAAATAAAAAAACCAAACAACATCAGTAACACGAAGAAATATTGTTCAATTTAATAACTTCAGATCTATCTTATGGATAAAAATCATGGATAAGCTTAGAAGTTCTAACTATCTTGGATAAATATAGTTTTACAAAAGAAAAATACTCTGTTAAAATACTGTTGACTAATAAGATATTTCTTCAACTTACAAATATTTTATCTGGTTTAGCAATGATGTCTACTCTCTGCATATTTTCTCCTTCTTTAGTGACTTTAATAGATTGTATTTGATCAAATTCAGCTAATAAACCCATCTACAATAAATTACAATAATATATTAAACTTAATAAAGGGAGATAATTTAGTCTTCAGCACATCACTTTACCTGTGGTTACAGAATATACAGGCGTATGTCAATAAATCGCTTTGCTGAGATAATCTCCTATGTTATCCAAACCCATTTTTTAGGTAAGTATTTTAGCATAAAATGAAATGAAATGTGGATTAACATCCTACCGTTCGCCATACAGTGTGCTATGAGGGAAATTTTACCCGGGCAGCGGCGCTACGGCCTACTCTTATATCGAATTCTAACTGCCAAGGATTGGTTACGTGTTTGCCAATGTACACACTGGACCTCGGTTTTTCGTCCCATATTTCAGCGTAACATGGCAACATGATGGTATGTACTTTATGATGTGATATACAATTTACCTGGTAAGTTTTAATATTGGTGACTACACTAACACCAGATTTAGGGCCAACTAACACCATAGCTTCAGTTTTCTTGTCCTACAATTAATCCAATCATATTTTATACTACAGATATACACAAGACAGAAGTATTGATGCCCTTTAAAAAAAAACATCAATTACATCATGTTTTTGTTTTATAAATCTAATTCACAAGAGTGTCGTGAAGTGAAGAAGGTTTCAAATAGACATTGATTAACAGAATAAAACAGACAACATGCCAGAAAACAAATAAAACAATTCATTATTGAAAGTTTCAATTAAGAAATCTATGAGCCTGTATAATCTCTTGATATGTTGATATAAATCGAAGATACTTTCAAACACTGGATGACAGTGATCAAATCTAATATAAACTTAAAAGGCCAATAACTTATGTAAGAATTCTTGGACCAATGTTTATTTGGTTATATAGTTTTAAACATTTATTCTGGTTCCTAGTTCCTTTAATTCCTTATATTCACACCATACATATTAAAAATATCTTTTCAGATATTATTACCAGTATATAATCATCGATTTGAGAGAATATCCAAGGGCAACAATAAAATTTACAAGTGTTTTGTTGGGATATCCTATCTATTGCTAATACATGTATGTCATATATACAATTATGAATGGGTTTAGTGACACTTTTTCATGTGCAATCAAGAGTCCAGCTATTGCACAAATAGTACTATATGTGACCCGCTCCCACAAAACCAGGCTTTTGGTCATTTTTATAAAAATAGAGCTGGCAGCATATTTAAATAGTTCACAGCCTAAGCTTTCCAAAAATGCAATTCTTTTCAAATTTGTCGTATCATCTGGAGTTGAGTTCGGCTCATTCACAGCAACAAGAAGGCATAAAGTTTATGCTTTTGTGCCCGTAGTACAAAATGAAGTTGTGCAACAAAAAAAAAGCGACTGGTTTTGTGGGTGTGGGTCACATATTTTTAAAACAGTTATTAATAATTTGGAATTGTTGATGTAACTTACTAATAATGTGACCATAAACACTCTACTACCAAATGTTTTAAGTTCACTGACTATTTTCATATAATGTAGTTTAGCCTGTAATGCTGTTAACTGTTTTTGACCAGGAGCAGTTAAACTTTGATTCTGTTTCAAATACTGATTCAACATTTTACGCAAATCTTTGCCTTTCATATGATCGACTAAACTACGAGGCACAAATTTATCTAAACCACATTCTTTTCTGGAAATAAAAATAGCATGTATTGATTATAAATATTTATCAATAAAATATATATAACACACAATTTGCTGAATTTCAGATTTCACATAATCTGGTAGTATAAAGGAAGAGAAAGAAGTTCCGAGTTCCATTTCAATGTTTGGTTATTGTTAGAAAGCATTTTAATTTTTATTTCAATTTTCAGGTTTTTAAATGAAAACGTTTATCATCATAACATGACATAGCTAAAATGATATCCGAACATTAAGTTATTGGATAGAGGAAAATTATAGATTTTTTTACCATAAATACAAGATTTGGAACACTATGTCATTAAAGTAAAAATGCTACATCAAAGAATTGTGGAAGTTAATTTATATCATGTTAATATATATTTTATTAATTTTGTAGTTTTGTCAAGACCGACCTTTTCTTTAAGTGGTTTTAAAATACGCCATTTAAAACCCCCAAAGGGAAGTAGATACAACCTTCATAGTAAAACTTGATAATTAAAGGCATTGAACTGAATTCCGTATCAATTTCAAAATTATGTTATTCGTTTTTAAAATTTTAAGTGGTCATGCTCCGCATTATCTCAGTTCACTGATTGAGCGCTATGTTCCAAGAAATCGCAGTTTGCGATCTGGTGACTCGAACAATGTAACACTTGTTAGAACGGATAAACACAAGAAGACGAAGGAAAATCCACGAACTACCATCAAGAGATACGGCTGGAGGGCTTTCTCTGTGGTTGCCCCGTTCTTGTGGAACGAGCTTCCACGCAGTGTGCGCCAATCACCAAATCTATTGACTTTTAAATCCGGACTAAAAACATTTTATTTTAAAAAACAATTCAATTTATAGCCTATTCAGTCGTTTGTTTTAATTTGGTTTTAAATGTGTAAACTATCTTATTTATAATCTTTAAGTGGCATTTAGCGATTGGAAAACACATTAATAGAACACAATTTTTATGGGAAACAATCACTGGTTTATTCTAAAAGCACGACGTTTCGACAAGTATCCTCTTATCGTTATCAAGCACAATGACATTTCTTGTGCTTGATAACGATAAGAGGATACTTGTCGAAACGTCATGCTTTTAGAATAAACCAGTGATTGTTTCCCATAAAAATTGTGTTCTATTAATGTGTTTTCCAATCGCTAAATGCCACTTAAAGATTATGTACAACGTCAATATGGGGATGTGGCAGTTAAGTGTGTTCGTCAGATCAGTAAACTTGAAGATAAATATATAAGAGTGAGTATTCACCATGTCCACTCTTATATATTCATCTGAAGTTTATGAAATGTCATTGTGCTTGATAACGATAAGAGGATACTTGTCGAAACGTCGTGCTTTTAGAATAAACCAGTGATTGTTTCCCATAAAAATTGTGTTCTATTAATATCTTATTTATATTTGTACAGCACTCTGAAACGAAGTGTAGATCGCTTTAATCAATAAATATTATTATTATATTTATCAAGGGTATTCATCATTATACCTCAATTTGTATCATTAAAAGAAATTAAAGATGCATTATGTAAGATTTAGGTAAAGAGCTGGCAATTCTCGCTACAATAATTTTAAAAATAGATAATGAAAAAGGAATGGCAATGGTGCTTCAATGTGTTCAAAATCACAACCAACTGATGATCTAGAAAGTTGAATGTGGGCTTGTCATATCAATAAATTTCTAATTAATAATTTATTGAACATTTGAGGCCAAAAGAAAGATTTGCAATAGGCAGATTTATCTCTTATATGATTTATCTTTAATGATGGGTTGCAATTCTGAATTAATATTTTATAGATAGACTTTCACTTGGGAACTGATCCCACTATTTAATCCATATTAAAATACGTACTCAATGGCTTTGATAGAGATTTTACCAGTCATGTTGTTACTCATAGCATGTTGTTGTATCTGTAAGGCAGCTAGACGTAAAGCTGTATCATACTTTAACTCTGAAGCAAATCTTTCATTGGTAATATCATTACAGCACTGCAAGCAGAAAATAAATTACATTATGTTTTTATAGATTTATTTTGTTACAAGTCATGGAAATAATCTTATCTTTTATAATCCATCTTAGAGAAAATCATTGATTATATGGACATAGATGCAGTGAATGAGAAAATATATCTGTCTAAATCCATCTATCATTCCTTACACAGAGAGAGAGAAAATAAATGAAATGAAATGGGCTTTAGCGTCCTACTGTGCTGCTCCGAACTGCACTAATGAAGACGGGCATATGCCATACAGTGTGCTATGAGGGAAATTGTGTCTGGACAGTAGCACTATGGCCTACTCTTATATCGAATTCCAACTGTTAAGGGATCTTTTACGTGCATGCCAATGTATACACGGGACCACAATTAAATACCATATTTACAATTATTTGCCACTGTATAATTCCCATCCAGAGATTCATAGTTTAGATGTTATATATAATTTGCATTATAAGATAATTCTTGCCATTAGTATTCCCCCCCCCCCCCATATTAAATCATTTATATATACCTGTAGATAAAAATATTCAAATGCTATAGCATCTTCTTTCAACAAATCATAGGCATCTCTTGGTACAAAAGTAACGCGATATAGGCAACGAAAATGACGAGCTCCGGGTCTTGCTGCAATCTGAAATACATTTCTCATAAATAATTTTATCTTACAATAATGTAGGCAGAGACATATTGGCAACGCAATATTCCATACCTTTGATAGCCGATGTGACTGTAATATCTCAATCTTAAATTTCAACCCAGGAGCAAAATATTATAGAAGATAAAAGTCACACATCTGTAGCTGGGAATAATTAACATGAACTACTAGTATTAACATCAAGCTCCCAGACTAAAGGCTAATCTTCTCTCAAGGAAGTCTACGTTTTATATTTCAAGTGGAATGAAACCAACATCATTATAGAATAAACATAACCAATCTACTGATAATTGCACCTAATTTTTCAAAAATGTATTTTATATTTCTGCTACAATAAAGTCTAGCAACAGCGTTTTTCTTTTGTTTGTTTGATTAATTAAAGATACAACATGTAAGAACTAAATCTGCCTCTTGCAGGTTTTTATTTTGGCTTCAAATGTTATATAAAATTATAATCAACTCTCTAGATCATCAGATGGCGGAGATTTAAACGAATTGAAATATAATCGCCATTCAATGATTTAATTAAAAATGGAGAAGCAAGGCTGAGTCTCGATTAACAAGGACCATTGCTGTAATAATAAACAATCAATACCACATCTTGTCAAAACTTCAAACATTGATAATTTGCTCAGAAAGAGAGAGAAATGGGGTTTAACGTCCACTCGACACAAACTAGGTCATTTTGGGACGAACATATGGTTTTTTTTTTTGTTTAATTTTATTTACATACTTCGCTTGCGCGTAGAGGTCTTTAGCAGTGGGAGGAAACCGGAGGACCCGTAGAAAACCCACGAGGTTGGACAGGCGACCCTACTCCTTGCCACGTACAACCGGGGATTCGAAACCACGCCAGTCAACTCAATGACAGACTTTATGATACAGCGGGCGCACGCTAACCATTCAGTCATCCAACCCCCCTAATTTGCTCAGAATAAAGTAATTTCAATGGAATTTTCAATATATTCATTTTGAACTATCTATTGTTGAACTATTATAGCAAGAATGGTCAACTCTTTATCTAACTCTTACATAATGTATCTTTATTCAACACACACTTTGACTTAGAAAAAAAAAGATTTAAACAATCACAATTTTGCATGTTATCTTATTTGAACAGACAAATAATGTTAGATCGAAAACCCCTTCTTTACCACAAAAGAATGATCACCAACCCGTCTTGAAAAATGAAATGTGATAAAGATGAGATCTGAATGAGAGTCTAGTTATAATACTTACATCTATAAGTGTTTCATCTTCTTGTAAAAGAGTCATTTTACCAGCTGTATTGTTCTTCATATTTTGTAAAACCAAACTAAAGTGCTGTGTACATGATATATTTAACTTTTCATGTAGTGATATAACAACATCCTACAAAACATACATTATCATATACCACTAATACTAATCAGGATAGAGTTCACAACATTAAATAAAGTCCATCTGACTGCCAAATGTTCAAAATAAATTCACAGCTACTTTATCTGAAAATCTATATTTTCCTGTTATTTGGGAAAAGTAGGGTTTTAATAAATCAAAGTAAAACAGATTTATCATATTATTTAAATTACTAATATGGTAAAGAGGCAAATGGGGTTTAACATCCACTCGGGACTAACATATTTCGGGACTAACATATAGTTCAAGAGACCCAGAGAAAACCCAAGAGGTTGGACAGGTGCCCCTACTCCTTGTCACATGCAACCAGGGAATCGAAATCACGCCAGTTGGCTCAACGACAGACCTTATGATACAACGTGCACGCGCTAACCATTCGGACATCGAACCGTCAATATGGTAGAGAGTTTTATTTATTCATAAACCGTAAACTGAGAATGCCATTTTTTTTTTATTTTGAATTAGTTGTATGAATATATCCACAAATAAAGATATATAACCACATAACAATAATAAGTTATGAGCGGGTAATCAATCCACAAAAAGCTTAAGAACAGTACAGAAACTGAATTGGTAATATTCTGTGGTAATTGTACCTAAAAGATGGTGACTTGTTGATAAATAATAGTAGATATTGTAATTGTGACTTCAATCAGAATTTAGTACTCTACTGGTATTAGATATCTGTTTCTGATCAAATACCACCATTAACACCAATTGACTATAAATCACACAAATAGCCTAACAAATTGACTGTTGACAAATGATTTGATGAGACTATCCAATTTATTGTTGTTTGATGGTCTACAGAAGAGTGATACTTCAATTAACTATGTAACACATTCCTTATAACATCACTTTTTTTTTTTTATCTCCTTTTCTTAAAGAAACTTACTTTCCTTCATTTCTTTAGAGGAAAAAAAGTTGTTGTTCTTATATCAGTTCAATTATACATACTGAAAGGCTACTCTTTTCAAATTTTACTTCGAAAGGCAGAGTAAAATAAGTTACTATCCACAATCGTTCAATTTCTATATTTAATAACACATGTATGTAAAATAAGAATCTATGGGTACGTACATAAATCCTTCCTATAAGCCAAAAAATTGTGAAAATGATTTTTAATTATGTGAGAATATTTAAATATTTTATACTAGAATGATAGACCATCAGATATTAATATTGTTCGTAATCACTGATACATAATTTCATTCAATTTACAACTGCCTAGTTTTACCTAAAAAGTTGGCATAGGATAAGCTGTGTTTTGAAAAAAGAGGTCTTCATCTTTTCATATGTTATATGTAATTATAGTAGCACTAAGCAGGAAATTTTAAGAAATCCATATTTAAATCCATTTTCGTCTTAAATACATTGATCTATTTCACCAATAATTCATGACTTGTACTCATTAATATTATTCATAGACCAATCAAATTGTATTCTATTACAAGAGAGGAACAAGCTATGAAAGGTCTCTGGATATTTGACTATATGGCTATACTTACTTTAACTGTTGTTTTGTTATCATATTTGAAAGACTTGGTTTGCCCATTCTCTAGGAAAACTTTTAAAACATTAGGCATGAAAGGCACATAACTCTCTTGTATGGACGGCTACAAAAAGAAAGTATATATATATATGAACAAAGAATTTCAAAATCACTACTTTGCTTTATGGTTAGAAGGCCAATGCAACATTGAAGATAGCTCAGAGAGTATGGTTTCCTTTAAAGAGGACAGACAAATAGCAATACAGATTCACTGGAAGACATGTTGAAAGCCAGAATTTCCATTAATTCAGATATAGTAGACAAGCCTGTTGGATTATTTAGTAGATACTGTGTACCATTAAGAGCATATCTTCATCCAAATCTATTAAAATTAAAATGTCTGATGAGTCTGTAATTAATGCGCTGAAGGAGATTTAATTTTAGTGGTAATTATTATGTAATTATGTAATATATATATATATATATATATATATATATACTGCATAATGCCTGCTAAAATTAAATCTATATATATAAAATTAAATATATATATATATATATACTGAAATCATTAATCTGTCTAGGAGAAATTAGATCAAAGTATACGATGTTGGTAGAAAACTATGGCCATGTATCAAAGACTTCTACATATTCATTATCATTTAATGAAAACTAAGCCTGTCCATGTAAAATAAGAGAGAGAGAGAGAGAGAGAGAGAGAGAGAGATGGTAATAAATAAGTTATCTATTATTATTCTACATATAAATATGGTGTAAACAATAACTTTCTTCAGGCCTAGAAGCAATCGTTGTTGTTAGATCTGACAAAATATGACAAGCACTAATAAACTAATACTACAGTACCAATAAAAACATGGTAAACCGGACAGTTGTAAGAGGTTCTACCTCAAAACAACTGAATTTCTGCAGGAAAATGTCTATACCTCAAGAAATCACAATCAGAATGAGATTACTCCCTTGTTACATTTAACAAAAAATGATTCTTTGGTTTCATTTGAAAATCAGTGGGAATAATAAAATATTTACAAAAGTCTATCATATTCTTTGTTATACAGGTCCATGGATATACTAAATCAAATTTAATAACTTCATTCAAAGACATTAATAATATTATAGTATACACTCATAGTAAAATAAAGAATATATCTTCTCAATGGTTTGAATTAGATATTATGTCAGAGATGTGCGTCAAGACAGATTAACTTTTTGTATCTCTGGTTAAAATATAAACACATGATAAGAGAGTCGTGTCAGCATGAAGGATTTACTTGTCACAGATAAAGGATTAGTTTACACACTATAACAAAACTTTTCAACAAATCACTAGACAAATGTTGTACTCACAAAATATTCTATTTACTCATATTCATCTTTATTTTCATATTTATGGAATTTATCATTGACACAATACATAGTCTTTTTTTCTCATCTCAGCTTTGGATTTCAGAATTATTTTGTATAAAAATATTTAGTTTTATTTTACAATTCCCAAATGGATCGCAAACACATTTTCAGTGTAGATGTTTCGTTTGCCAGTAAAAGTTCAATCTTTTATGGCACGTTAGTAACACACTAATGAATGTATTTCTTTGCTGAGCTTGGGAAAATTGATCTCTCCCCGTTACAAGATATTCACAAACCAAAAAAAAAAGAATTGATTTCTCAATAGTCAGTTGAACTTTCCGAAATGATTGTTATTCTCCAAAGGGAATTTCTAAAACGAAACTAATTCCAAAAGAAGTTCTTTAAAAAGACTTGAATTCTCAAGAGTCGCGTTGAACATTTGTATGTATTAGTTTAGAATGATCAATACATTCTTGTTGATGACACGGTGAAAATATTAACGGTACCTATCATTGGTGAATGAAATTGGCTTCTCCCAAATGACTGGTATAACAGATTAATTTACCAGAAGAATGAAGAAACTTACAGTTAAAACATGGGCACCATTTACCATGACTGATTCGGCAAAACGAACCCGTGAAGGATTGCTTTTTAATTTTGCTTTCTTGGCAGCCGTAAGTAGTGCTGACTTTCTTGAGGACTGTAAAATAGAAAAAAAAAAAATATAGGATAATGAAAAAATGTCAGAATCGATGTCAATAGACAAACGCCGAAAATCAATAAGCACTTAATGTCTTCCAAAATTTGTGGATTGGCTAAATTTTCTTGTTGTTCGCTTGAATGCCGACAAAACTAAAAACCTGACAGACATGACAGATTTTGTATACATGTATATAACATCGGAAAGATTCTGGTGTGTACAGAGCTATTTTCATGTTGTTAATCGCCAAACGCAGCAAAAATTTCCAATATCCATTAACCTATTACAAGTCAAAATCAGTTAGAAATAAAAGAGAATATTTGAGCTGCTAAAATCTCTTCAAATCATTCAGTTAAGCAGAAACACGATGTAGACGGACATAGAAAAACTTGATTCTGATTGCTTTTTTCTATACAGCAATTATACTGTTAATAACAATATTTCACATTACTTCAAAAATCAATATTATAATCAGTGTCCATTCAGTTTATTTTCAAATACATGAAAAGCATCAGATGTATAGGTCAAAGTCTGAAAATAGTGGAAATTAAAGTTATTGATGGATTTGGGAAGTGGCAGAGATCACGAACCAATTTCCTTATAAGATGGTATCTTATGCACATTAATTTAATCAAATTTGATTTACTAGATTTTTCATTGACTAACAAAATTGCTTTAAAAATGCAATGGCTAATACATTCATCAACTTCATAAAATCAGATTTTCAATAAGAATTTGTACAAAAATATTGGAATAAACAATTTTAAAATAATTTAAGAGCCATATAATCTTGAATAATTGGTTGGAATAAGCCTAAACTGTGTTATTTTTTTTAATACTCAAAAATTAACATTTAACAACTTTAAAATATTCTCATAACATTTGTATAATATTTACTTCTTGAATCTTATACATTTCTCTTAATCCAATTTATTTCTATGGTGACTGGACGTGGAATGAAGAGTGTAAACAGCTCCTTCATAATCCCTCAAATTATCTTACAACCTCTTTCAAGATAAAAAAACTTCAATGGCATTTAGTAATTATGTCCCGTGTTTTGAAAACATTGTTCATCCCCTTTTTGGGGTTTCTAAATGGTATATCTTTTAAACATTCCAAGAAAATATTTATCATCAAAAACCAATATCTATTTACAATTCGGTATTTTTAGAATGGTAATAAACTGTAGATTTACATGATATAAACATTAATAAACTACCACAATTATTTTATGTTGTAATTTGTGCTGTACAATCAAAAAACACTTAAATTATGCATCTTTCTTCAAAAGTTCTATTATTCTAGTAGTTTCTGTCTGTTAAGTCCAATATTTTAAAGATAGGTTGCCAGGCAACAAAACATACGCCTACAGCAGTTAAATCATCGGACCAGTCAACAAGAGTTTATCACATATTCTTATGTCCAATATTTTAAAAACTATTATGGATATGTACAAATATTGATAATCCCCCCATTCAATGTTTAATTATCTTATAATCATGTCACTTTATAATGAAATGGTTTAAACACATACCATTAAAACATACTGTGATTAAAATCACACATTTTTCTCCTTATATTCCGTATTATATATTCTACTGGACTCAATTCTATTTAACATTTGATAAGTTTTGTCATTGAGTTGTGTTTTTTAGACAAATCTAATAAAACAGTCTCAAAATATATAATGAACACCTTTAGCAAAACCTGTAAAACAACTACCTTTCTCATAAAACTGACTAATTTCAATAATTGATAAACTGTTAAATGAAACAGATTCAAGTAGGTGTTGAACATCTATATAAAGTCTGTAATAGGCTGGTAACAACATAGAAAGTTTCAATGTAATTCATGATGAACCATGAGATTTCTCCATTTAATAAAATCATAAAGTTAACAGATGGAAGTACAGACTACCGGACAACGTCATCTGTTTTAAAACAAACAGAACAAGATATTCAAATTCCAAGCAGAGCTTCTACCTCTATTATTTAAATTCCACCATGACAAATATTTCACAATTAATAATGTGACTTAATGTCAGGTGTTTTTAGTCATTTTTTAGTCATTTTTTCAAGTATTGAAGATGTTGAACTGGTAAACAGTGTCTATTATATACCATACTCACAGGTACACACATAAAACATCACTTGATAACCAATGACACAATCCACATATTTGGACGACAGTCACCAGTTATCATGAATTTGAAGCAGCCAATATGTAAATACTTACGTTGTCTGAGTATGGCTGACACACTGTAAGGACAATAGATTGTTTACACGCTCTGAAAGAAACAAAATGTTAAACATATCAATTTCTTCATTACGATACAGACTTCTTAAGAATTTCTGTTACCTTGATATCCAACTAAATTAATTGGATTTTTAAAGATTTCCCTTTAAATGTGATTCTCATGATATCAGACCTAAAGTAGATTATGTCCATTTAATCTTCTTTTTTAATAATCTTTCTATTTATATAACATATAATATATTTAAGAATCTTGTGACGGACCACCATTGTATATATAAAGATCATTAAAATTAATCATTTAATAAAAGGTGTTTTAACCTGAAACATTTTAAAGATGAATAAATCACCTCTCATTTAATCTCAAGTCTGTTTTTGTACTGCCATTGTGAGGGGATTTTTAATTATCTATGACCAGTCAGTTTTAGATAGTATTTAATGTGTTATGGTTAATATCAATCAGGATAGAAGCTAATTATTTAATCTGTTTATTTATGTTAATGTCTCTAATGATAATCCTGTATAATATATGTTTTGATGTCAACATTTGAGATTATCCATTTATAGTTAGAATATAAAAAGGCTAATGTACATCAATAGGGAAGTCATTAGGTCACCCGACTTAGTAGCAGCCACATCGGTCATCCACTGTGCTGTAGGTGTATGTATTGAATTATTGTCATTTGTAAGATATAAGTTCCATTAATTAAAAGAATGAACAACCATTCCAGACTGTAGTTACTGAAGAACCTAGCGGTTATATATCTATAATGTCCATTTCTAAACTGTGTCCACATTGTACTTGCTAATGACAGAGGAATCATTGTTGAAATGTTCCATAAAGTTTCATGTTTTATTTATGATAAAACTGCTTCTGGCTATGTACCAAATGATGTATAATATTTTAAGTTTTATCACACAGAAACCTATGGTATGTATCCGCGAGGAAATTGTAGATAATGGATAGACATTATAATGTTAATATAACTGATTTATTATTTCATTCAGTAATGTGCACATATATAATTTCAACAAAAATATTAAAGCACTTAAGTTTACTTTCTAAAATTAAACAATATTTTATAAAATGAAAATCTTCTACATGATGTCCAGTAGAATACAAACAATGATTATTCAGACCCTTTCTAGATAAACAATATTTATTGAAATAAATCTATTTTTATCCTAGAAACAAACTATAATTTTAAGACATTGCTTCAAGCAAGAATATAAAACCTAATTATCTGTTAAATCCAATGATAATCAACATTTTTATTTTAAATAAAACTTATTTACTATTTATAACTGACATATAAAATATATAAACAATTCAAACCTTAGGTTTCTAAATAATTCCATCATACTTTTCCGTTGGTGCAGAAATATATTCTAAGATAACATGTAAGTATTTTTATAAGAATCCTGTGTGTGGCAGGTCGAGTAATAAGCTTTAACTAAATAAATGGACATTCTTAACAATTCGTCTTTATTTCTTTAGTGGTGTTCTCGTCTTCCAACTATAACAATTCATCCGATTAAATATTGGAGACTAAAGCAGAGTTCAGTGAATATTTTGGCAGACGACAATCGAAATTGACCTCCATCCAACAGAAAAGAAGATCTATTGAAGAATCAATCAACTGCACACTTAAAAGAAGTTGTTGGTGACAACATAAATTCAATTAAACGTTCGCCAAACAATCTTCATTTTTCTCAAGTTTTTCTTTTTATCGATAATACTGCTTGAACGTAAACAAAATACAGATGGGCTCAACACAATTTAAAAACACAAAAATATAACAAATGCATGTCAATTTCTGCAAACACTTAATTCACTCCAAATATTAGCCTTAACTAAAACACTATAACTTTATTCTAAAAACACATTAATAGTTTTGGCTCCCTGCCACTTTTCAGAATTGAAAATAAAAATGTGATTTTATTTTTTTAATAAATTATTTAAATTTCGTGTTTATAGAATATGTAATACATTTCTATCAATTGAAGCCCTAATAACAATTTATTACATTGTGTGCAAGACAGAAAAAAATAAATATCTTGTAGGGAATTGTCCAAATTCAATAATTAGAATGACTGGCCTTGACTACTGAGAAATGTCATGCTAAAATTTAATGATAATGAGCATGCAAGATTGCTGTTAATACAATTAAAGTTTTGTTCGTGTACTTGATATCAATCAATCCACATTGTTTTATATCTACAAAGAATCTTGGACCAATTTAAAACATCATTTTTAACTGTACAGAATAGGAAAATAGTTTCTGTAAGAACTACTCATGGAAGGGTTTCAGAAAGATTTTATCTGAGTTAGATTTAATTAACATTCAATTCCATTGTTATTACAATTGTAAAATACTATGTACAGTAATTACTTATAAGACTGGCAGGGGTTGGATGGCCGAATGATAAGTGTGTGCGCGTTGTATCATAAGGTCTGTCATTGAGTTAACTGGTGTGGTTTCGATTCCCCAGTTGTACATGGCAAGTAGTAGGGTCGTCTGTCCAACCTCATGGGTTTTCTCTGGGTCCTCTGGTTTCCTCCCACTGCTAAAAGACTCCCTAGGCGCAAGCGAATTATTGAAATAAAATTGAACCATGTGTTAGTCCCGAAATGACCCCATTTCTCTCTCTCTCTCCCTGTCTCTTATAAGACTGGTGATTAAGCCAACATCAAAGGATTACTTACCTGACTAATTCAATTACTTTTTCTCTCGGTGCTTTTCTGACTTCTTCTGCATTGATCTTGAGTATGAGATCTCCAGGTAACAATTTGTCCACGCTTGGCCCACCTAGAAAGGTAATGAACATGATAGTCAATATGAAGAAACATCCAGTAAATATAGTTGTTGAGTTTTACCATCAGACCTAGTCTTGTTTACTAGTCTCACAAAATACTGGCCATTCAACTACTTCTAGTCATCTTCAACATATAACGTAAGCTTTTATTTGAACAATAATGATTGGGGGGAAAAGGTTTGAGAATTAGAGGTGGTAAATATTGATATTATGTTACCAAATGTTGATTAAAGGTCGCATGATTTACTATCTTTATTATTACATAAAATATTTAACATTTTTATAATCATTTAAATCATGTAATAGTTAAAACTATTTTTTGTTTAAATTTATACAATCAAATTCTTGTGTTAAATTCTGAAGTTGAATATGCTTTGCGTCAGAGAGGACTTCAACCATCAGACATAAAAAGATACAAATAGTTTTTCTGAATTTCAGACTTGAATTTCCTGGCAATTGTAGTATTTTATAAATTGTAGAGAAACCTGTTTTGGATATATTTCTCCCCAGGATGATATAGGTTAGTCTTGCACAGTACTAGTAGAATATGGTTACACAGTTTATATCAAAAACTATTTCTTTTACATCATTCATCTTTTAAATGAACAACTCAGTGGGTCTTTCATTAACCTATTATGGCTTTCACAGCCTTTGGTGAAATATCAAAAACATGGACATGCTTATAATTAGTATCTTAAAGCACAATAGCATAATGATCAAACATCACATTATTCATTATTAACCAAACTTTATTCTTCTTGTTAGTTTCTTATTGAAGGAAAACTTGAAAAACATGATTCCCTCTTATCAGGTTATCTAATCAAATACCATATAATACAATATAATAAAACACAGTGCCTCAAACTTTTATAATCTCCTACAAATACAGGATTGAGAAACAGACGAAACACGCCATTTTAAGGTATAATTACTGTATTGTCCAGTGTTTTTATAAATTGTTTTATATTCTAGAAGATGTGCGTCATATTATTAATGTTAAACAAATCACATGTTTTCCCAGTCGATCAAAGATACCATAGATGTATCAAGACAAATTGCTTGTCACTCCACTTAACCTGAGCAGAAAATGTTCATTATTGAACTTAGTGACTGATCCATGAACTAATGTAATGAAACCATACAATTTGAACATTCTACCTCAATTAGAAGCAGAGTTATCAACCACAACTGATGTTCAGTACAATAGGTAAATATTTCAGGTTTTAGCACAAGCAAGAAACTGTTACGTTCGTTCCTGGAGTTTTACGTCCATATCCAACTGTTAAAACGATGAAAGTAGTTATACCATGTGCTTTACATACATCAGGTGTAGTAATACTATTTTAGGTACCGACTTACATTATGTGCAAGTATATTTTATTTACTGTACTAATTATTTAAAAGAGTGTGCAAGTATATTTTATTTACTGTTTATTTAAAAGAGTGTTTAGGAATTTAATTTACAGAAAATTAAAAGTTACTGTTGGCTCCCTATATAGCTTGTCCCTACTCATCCATCTCAGCAATAGTACTGACTTTACTTGAGAACAGTTTGGTGGGGGACATATAATAAAGCCACAATAAACTAACTATCAGTGTGTATTTTATAGCAAATCATCCACACCATCGACAAGATTTAATTGTTAGCTGAAAATGCATGCATACCAATTTATAAACTATCAAAAATCCATTGTGTATGTGTGAAATCTCTAAGAATATGATTCAGGTTAAAACTGATATATTATCTGGTCATGATATAGGTGGAAACCTCAACAGACAGACATCATCAAGTAGCTATATAGACTGTTGTAATTTGGTCAGATGGGGATCTTTGGAACTATAATATGATATTATATGAAACATTCTATTTATAGATTATTTCAACTATATTATGATGGCTGATGTCTCCATCAAGATGGTATTCAACAAGCACCAATGTCATATATAAGGTATGACGATATAATTACAAGTTATTTCCAGCTTTCTTTTAAAGATACATTCCCGTGTACAAACTGGGTGATTTAATGGTATATTTGGACTAAAAACATATTCAAACTAATTAATTTGTCATAATTTTGCTTCAAATCCTTCTCAAACATTGTAATTGCCAAGGAATGCCCTGCTATAAAAATTCGATCAAACCATGGACCTTATAATACATTATAAGGTCCATGATCAAACCAGGTCATGTTTATGTCATGTGATTTACCTCTCTCAGAAGTCAAAGGAGAATTCATTGCATACATAAGACAATGTTGTCTTTAATCGCTTACTATTTATTACAAATATCGAATCCTAATTAAATTCTCGGATTATCCACTACCCGCGTCTTTTCCGTTAACTCTTCATAAAGTTTATCAACTTGTACATCAAGTACTTAATTTTCGCGTGTGACCTTTGACATCACACGTGCAGAAATTCCAAATCATCGGGCTGTTTGTCCTGTATACGCTCCATGATTGTTTTTCTAGTAAGATTGAATATCTCTACTTTCCATATATACCAAAATTGCCATACTTTTATTGGAAATAACCACCCGATAAATACTTTTCTGGGAACCCATCTTTAAGTAAGCTAAACCTTCAGGCATTTTCTTCACCTTTTTAAATACAGTAATTTTATTAGTACCATCATGATTATCAGAAATCCTACTGCTGTAACGTTCATCCATAAGTAAGACAGCTCTTCCATTTCTTTTAATGTACATTGATATCAAATTTCTGAATAGCGCAAATTTTGCATAGTTGGCAGTGTAGACATGGGTTAGATTTCAATTTCAACAAAAAAATGTGGATATAGAATATTTAAATAAGATACAAGATTGATCATATAAAACTACTGCTTTATTCTACGAAGTTATCAATAATAAAAGGTTGTACTATGAGTCTTTTTGTTATCCATAATCCACAAGTAGGACGTTAACTTGCTAGGAAATTTCATATTCAGCCAGCATGTCTCATACTAATTCATGTCTCGTTGCGGTCCTTTGTTACCAAACAAGATTAAAGACACTCGATAAAAAGACAAACACTTAGTCAATTGTATTAGCTCATGCCTTTAGATCGCTCTTTTAATAGTCTTTGATTCCTGCAAGTAATCAGAATTACGCACATATTCAAACAGGCTATTTCACCTTAAACAATAAACCATAAAAAAAAGAGGACAGACTTGCAGTTAAATTGTCTTTGGGCTTGCGTGCTTAACAGTGTATGTGTGTTCTCCGTTACAAATTAAAGACATGCCTGAAACAAGTCATTAAAATTTATCCGATGCTATTTAAACCAGCGATTAAATTGGGTAAAAATCGATCATGTTTTCTTACTAGCTTGTAATGACACAGGGTAAGGTAAATCTAACAATCTTGGCGCTTAATTCAAGCAAATACCACAGACCGCTGGAGGGAACAACACATTAATTCTGCAAACTAGATTGCTACTGCCTGTAAGCCTGTATTTTAGATCGTGACACCAGTCACTCAACTAAGATCAATATCCTCCTACATTGGGATATTCTTTGGTAACAAGTAAACAAAATTTGATGAAATATATATATAGAAATTCACATCAATATTTCCTTCCTTGCTTTAAAATCCCTTCTATCCCTATTTCATTTATTAGTTGTTATTGAGTTATTGAAAAGTGTGTGGTACAGAGCATGATACTCTGATCTCGACAATGACATATAGCTTACATAATCATTTTTAACTACAAAACTCAACATGTTTACATAATTGATGACATCTGACTATTTGGATAAAAATTTTCCATTATGTCAGAATAAATCCCGGGTTGGTCACACGCAGGTTTTTACTGGTAAGTGTACTTTACGAGGTGGAATATTTGATCTCGTAATAAAGTTCTTATCTCACCATTCTATTTACGTGTTTCAATCAATACTCGTGTCTCTCAAATTATCATGATCTCTAACAATATCATACCCATCATTCTTATTCTAGCTTCAATTTATAAACCAAGTCAGGATTTGAATCCTAATATATAATCATACTTCGTAGACGGATCATTCAACCTGAAGATGTCCTTTAGTTATTTACTTTTTCTGAATTCATGGTTTATAAACCACTCCAATATTCCTTGCCCATGTATAAAATCTATTCCGAATTGATATCTAACAAATAGTTATCTTTACAATATTCTATACTAGTGTTTTATTGGGCATCCTACACATCTCTAATTTGTTAAATGGAACATTAATTTTGATTTGTATATCAGACATTGAAACTATCCAGAAGGTAAAATATAAATACACCTAATAGTATCTTATAAAACATTTTTTTAAAGTTATATATGAATAAAATTGAGTGTTTAATTAAGCTTAAAAGATGTTAGAGAGATTGTAATTTGTGCTTTCCATAATAAATTTGAGAGAAAATATTACCTAAAAATTGTAAAATTTTCTATCAGTTTTACTGAAAACAGTAAAACTTTCTATCAGTTTTACATAAATTGCAAATTATGCAATCTAATGATAACAATAACAGTCAGCTAAATGCACAAACTAAAAACAATACTAATAATGACGGGACCCAAAATATACAAATTCAACAAACAAAATTTGAAGACAAACATATTGATAATATACTGCAGTCAAGGAAATACAGGGGGTAATTTTGGTATAAAACACGACTCAAGCAAGTAAAAGGACCCCAAGGGATAGTTCAGAATCTCTTGCCGCAAGATCTTATAAGAAATTTTCATGCCACAAAAACCCAAAAAGGACTGGTAAAGAAAAGGGCAAAGAAAGCGAGAACCAATTAGCCGCCCGCCTTCCATCTACTCCCTGATGACGTGGGGCCAAGCTAAATTGTGAATCGCAAAAGACGATTGAAATTTGTAATAAGAAAAGAGATCCGAGTTGTTCTTTTTATTTCTACACATATTGGCTTACATAAAAGTCAAATGGCCTAGTTAACCAAATGATTCGACATACAGAAATGCTTATATATCATTGGTGACGATCAGTGCTATATAAGTACAATAACAAAATTGTTTTATATAAGACAACATTGATCTCATTCTTTCAAACAAACTGCCTATGGGCAATTCTGTCCAGTCTTTTAGAATTAACGAGAGTAGGAATCTAACTAGCACAACCAAAAAGAGTGTTCAGAAGAGACATTAGATAAGAACATTCGTCCAAAATTGAGAAAGCTATCTTTGTCTGATATTGAGGCTATTGTGGTAATATACCTCACACCTATTTTACTGGTGTTCAATGAGGAATATTCTTGTATTTTTTTGATTGTATATGTGTTCACAGTAGTAGTGTTCATACCTTACTATATTATAATACCATGTACATGTATATATATATATATATATATATATATAATAAGGTGTCATTCTATACTTTCAAGGCAGATTTTATAGTGCATATAGCCAATGACAAATGATCAAATAGCAGCAGAAATTGGAAGAATAATTCTTTATTGTCTGACATACAAAACAAGATCAGAGTAGGGCTGAACAAATAGAGATAGCAATTATATGCATTTATGAAGCACAGTACATTTTTTTTTTTTTGCTTTAAAGGCATATGGCTCTATTTTTTATTTGAAACTTAAAATAGACAAAAATAGTCTAAAAGCACATGTTAATGTAATATGAATGTATGTAAAGTCATTTATATATTGTAATTTCTAATGAATTATGTTCAGTGAAATATGTGAACAGTTCAAATTGAATGGTAATCGTTTATGTCTGCTTAATGCATTCTACACTTTTTGGTTTAAATTATTATTTTGCCTTTACTAACTACTTCCACATTGTGTTGTAGGATATGTTTTTATTTGTTCATTATAAAATGACACCCGACACCATAGGATACTTACTATAAAATGTTAATTATGTCTTAAATATTGGATATTGAATTCTGATTCGTGTTTGGGAATTTGAATATTATGGAAAATATTGAGTTAGAGACTTAGCTCCTTTAATCTAGGCCTACCAGAATGATGTCGGGAGACGAGCTTAAGTGCAACAACATCTGAGAGTCGGGTCGACACTTTAATAGGGGGCGTCCATATATGACCAGGTGGTATTTAACACAGCTATTCATTCATTTACTAAGTTGACTATTTGGACCTTGATTATGTAATGTTTATAGATGGATTATCTCATTACTACTAATTGTCTATTATATCTGTCATAGCTGACCATTGTTAACTCACTTTTGATAATCCATCTTGGGTGGCCATTTATGGTGTAAGTCTACTAACTTAATATTGGGTGAATGGCTGTGTTAAATACTACCTGGTCATGCCCTGCTCATTCCATGAAATACATCTTTGGAAAACAGAAAGCCATTTAACTGAATGAGAATAAAATATAACAATATTTACCATCAGTAACAAATCGTACAACAACAGGTTTCTCACTACCAGCAACAAAACCAAAACCTTTCTCTGGATCCCGAACAAGTTCTACTTCTCGAGGTTTAGGTGGTTCAATATAATCAGCTTCGTCTCTAGGATCTTCTCTCGTTGTGTATTTTTCAACATGGCTACAAAATAAGAAAAAGATAATATTTTATTCCATGATCTAAGTTTTCATAGGCGTACGAGCTGGGGGGGCTGGGGGGGGAGCCGCCCCCCCCATTTTGGGCACCAAATGCTGGGAAAATTTGGGCACACAATTGTACTTTGTAAAATTTGTATATAAAAAAAATATTGTATTCTTGAGTGTGTCCAATTTAACAGTGAATTTATTACTATTATGTAACATACTAAGAACCTAACTACATTTTTTGGGCACCAACCACCACCGCCCCCCCCCCCCCAGTCAAAAATTTCCCCGTACGCCTATGTAAGTTTTATCAGGTATTTTAAATAAGCTTTGTGTACAGCAGGGCTAATGTTAATCTAACAGCTGAGAGTAACTGGCATTTCAGCAACTGGCTTCAACTCTGAGATGAAAAGTGGTGACTACGTGGCAGGTTTGCTGCAACAGTTTTCTGGTTGCGTGGTTAGTGGAATTGTAAATTCAAAGCAGTAGTTTGTAGTTCGAATCTTTGTATGCAAATCGTATCCTGGGTAAATTAGATAGACAGGTTGTTGGTCACCTCTATGAATGTAGATTCAGTAGTTTAGAGGGCTCCACGAAAAAATATTATCAATGTAATGATAACATAATTGGGGCTTAAAGGTGAGGTTTTCTGAAAAAATTTCTCTAAAATCTATCGCAGAAATTCCTGCTATTATAGGGTGCTGATTTGGTTTCAACAGTTATTTGTTTGTCTGAAGAGTACCGCAAAATACCCCCCCAAAAACCCTTGAAAAAACTAATACTGTAAAATCACTAAATACTGAAACAAACAACACTGATTACCAAACCAGCAGCTGCCAGGGATGGATAGAGAACAAGCTAAAAACAAACAGGATTTTTTGTACCATCAGGGGCAATAATACAGAAAGTTATGGTCTGAAAAGCCCAAATATCAAAAGGTACTGAGATCTTTTGGATATAAAGATATGTTTTAAGTTTTATCAAAATCGGATAAAAATTGTGACCTCTAGATGGTCCACAACCTTCATAGCTACTTTTACACAATTTGAGTACAAAGTGCAGCCATGTTATTAGTATAGTACAACACTGAATTTTATTCAAAAACTTTGTTGTATTGGCTATGTTCATACATTTATTCCGATCTGGCGAGCTAGATTGCAAACAACATAAAACATCTATATGTTATACATGTTCTAATTTATGGCCAAATTGTGCTGACTTGTGGCCAACTATGTAAGAATATTGAATTTGTCCATTCCAAGCTTGCCTTAAATCATACTTTGTAGCAAAACAGCCAAAACAGAATGATTCACTCGATCATAACAATACACCACAATACATCATGTCATGTATTTCTATGGCTCACCCGATGAGTTTACAGACAACAGAAAAACAATTTTTCAGTATTTCACGCTTTTTCAATTTAATGAAGTTTTTCTCTCCACTTCCTCATACATTTGTTGTTTTTTATATGCTTTAAGAAATGTTAATGTCTCCATAGTCTTTTGAAGATTGTCATGAATTAATAAAATATACATGGAATCTTTGTGACATCGGAGAGGGTTTTACTGCTTTGGGGCTTCTGGTAAGAAAAATTAGCTGATATTTAAGTACACTCTGTTGATCAGGAAGTGACTTTTCATGATAATGCTAGAGAAGGGTATAGTTCAGTTCCTGTTCTAAACATTAGATATAAATATAGTGCTTGTAATGAAATATTGGTCAATTTTGTTGCGGGGCATATATTAATGTTATTCTATGATAACATTATATATAGATTATATAAGATACTGTGTTATTTAATTAGTTTACATATACTTTAAAGGTTAAGTAACGTCCCCTGTCAATATGTTTTAAGCTTGTCTTGTCACATAGCTCAAGTTCAGTAAAAAGATGCTAAGATTATTGGCTCTGTTAGCAAGCTAATTATTTTTTGATTGACAAGTCCTGTGAAGACTGGCTTCAAGTGGATTAACTGATTGACGCGATATGCAAGAGATAATAATGAGTTAGCGCTATACACCATACTAGCATCCGTCAACCAGCATGTGCTACGCATAATGTAAGAACAAATTTCCATCCTCCATTGTGTAAAGAAACGGGTGAAGAAACCTTAACGAGTCACGATATCTTATTTTTTAATGAGGTGACGTTAACTTTGTGTATTTTCCTCGTCTGCATACTGTCAGTTAAAGTCAAGACTTCCAGTTTGATTAGTTTAATTTAGAAAGTAGAATATTTATCTCTAATGTCACAAGGTCACGAACCAACTAAACTAGCAGGCAAAACAAAGTTGACACATGTAATTCCTGTTTTATCTATACAATAATGTTGCAATAAGTTTAAACATTATCAGAAAACATTTGACAAAATATACCCTGTATACACATTGCAGTCACTGAACGCAGGTATTTCCTCAAGATGCACGTGCATGATTGTTGCATAGATACCTGGAGGGATAGAGCAATGATTCACGATGAAAAAAAAAACACTACAGAGATGCCAAGATTATAACTGGAAGAACGAGAGAGGGTTATTGGTATGGCACAGATGAGGGCTTCTCCATGGCAAATTGCAAGGATTTTCCAGCAATCTTTTCCAGTGTTTTCAGCAAATAGGCCCAACTCAAGACCGATCAAGACAACTCCAGCTGAAGATCACTATATCCGGACAATTCACCTCCGGAACAAGTTCACGTTTGTGACGCCAACAGCGGCCATGGCATTGAAACACCCTATCAGCAGACACTGTCTCACTGTTGGTATAAGAGCCTACCGACCATTTTGATGAATGATCTTGAACCCTCAACACCATCAGTGCAGGTTACAATGGGTAGGAACTGCATCACGATAGTAAGCTGTTCAGAAATGATGGACGGTTCATGTTGATTGCCGTAGAGGGGAGAGACTGGCACCTAACTGCACTCAAGATGTCCAAGCTTATGTTGGAGGTGGCAGTACAATATGGGGAGGGATTTGTGACCAGCAACAAGATTTGTTATCATCCGTGGAAACCTGGCTGTCCAAAAATACAGAGACGAAGTTCTGCCACCTGTGGTAGTGCCATTCATGCAACAGCAACACAGGGTTACCATTTTATAGCATAACGCTCGACCACACACCACCAGACTGGTCCCATGATTATTTGAACAATGTTTACGTCCACACATTAAGTTGTTAACATGTAAAAAGGGTACTGACAAAACCCTTCATAGCTGCATCACAGGTCTAGTTTATCTTAATTTTTTTATTTGGAATATGTGAAATATCAGAAATATTATGAAAAGGCTGTTTATTCTACAATTAAAGAAGATATAACCTCACAGCCAGACGGGAAATTAAAGAGACTGGAAGTTGGAGTAAATCAGTCTCTATCAATCAGTATTTATATTAATCAACAGTTATAATAATAATCTAGTAGTTGTTGTAACCAAGTGAACGAACAATCTCTAATATTGATGAACATACAAACCAACAATGAGGCTGATGTCCTCCTCCATCGTAATCCCTAAATAAATAGATGACACATACTAATTAATTGCACATTTATCTTTTTGAAAAGTATGAGCAATCAAACTGATTATCTTTTACTTAGTCTTGGCAGGAAATGTTCACAATTGTACTCAGTTATGATTTTGAAGTACTTGGTAGTGAAACTATATATTGTCTCAAAGCATCGACCAATGAAATTGCTAAGCTCTGCTTAACTTTAGCAGAAAATGTTAATTATTGAACTTAGTCACCTAATGAACATCTACACCAAGTTTAATTATCAAATTTATCGAGCTCCAAAGTCTCAACCAATCAAATTCCTCATCGCTCTGCTTACCCCAAGCAGAAAATGCTAATTATCGAACTTAGTCAAGGTACTGATATAATGAAACCATTCACAAAGTTTCATCACTCTCACTTAATTAGAACCAAAGTTATTGTGTCCCATAGCATCAACCAATCAAATTGCTCATCTTCGAACTCCATTAAGGCATTCCCCTAATAAACACCTACACCAAGTTTGAACATTCAAGCTCAATATAGAAGGAGTATTGTGTCCCAAAAGGTGTGACGGACAGACAGATGGACAGACAGACTCACAGATGGACAGACACATTTTAATAGTCCTCTGCTTTCTTCAATAGCAGGGCGTCAATAAAATCTATTGTTTGTCACATGTACATCAGTGAGATGAGATTAATGTAAAAGAAAATGTTGTATTTATCACAGCAGAAATCTTTATATATATATATTGTTGACAAGTTATTAGCTCAAGGTCATACATGACAAAACCATTATAATTCTCAAGAGAATTTCTGACAGCAATTTTAAAAGTTTCACAAATGTATTAAATTTTCCCATGTAGCCTATTCATAATTTATATCTGTATTAAATTCCGAGTTGAAAGTGCATACAAGACCATAACCAAAATTTAATTGTACAATAATTTTAATAAAGGTTGTAATGCTATCATAATCTGGTTGTATTCTTTATTAGGCTGAATACTCTCATGATCTTGCAAGGATCTTACTTAGGTTGCAGATCTCATGATCTTGCAAGGATCTTCTTCAGGTTGTAAAGATCTTTTGATCTTTCAAAGATCTTACTTAGGTTGTAAAGATCTTTTGATCTTGCAAAGATCTTACTTAGGTTGTAAAGATCTTGTGATCTTTCAAAGATCTTACTTAGGTTGTAAAGATCTTTTGATCTTTCAAAGATCTTACTTAGGTTGTAAAGATCTTACTTAGGTTGTAAAGATCTTACTTAGGTTGTAAAGATCTTGTGATCTTTCAAAGATCTTACTTAGGTTGTAAAGATCTTTTGATCTTGCAACGATCTTACTAAGGCTATAAAGATCTTTTGATCTGTCAATGATCTTACTAAGGTTATAATGCTCTCAAGATCTTGCAAGGATCTTACTTAGGTTGTGACTTTTCAAAGAACTTACTTAGATTGTAATATTAACATGATCTTGCAAAGATCTTATTTAGGTTGCAGATCTCATGAT